TGGAGTCATAGCAGAACATAGAGTTATAGCAGAACATGGACTTATAGCAGAACATGGAGTTATAGCAGAACATGGAGTTCTAGCAGAACATGGAGTCATAGCAGAACATGGAGTTATAGTAGAACATGGAGTTATAGCAGAACATAGAGTTATAGCAGAACATGGAGTTATAGTAGAACATGGAGTTCTAGCAGAACATAGAGTTCTAGGAGTACATAGAGTTCTGGGAGTACATATAGTTTGAAAAAAAGAAAAAATTATTCAACTTTTCAAAAATCTTTTTAAGATACAAAAAAATTGAAACACAGTTCGGGCACCTTAAAAGGTTTCATTCTTTAGTTTAATGAACACTTTGCCATAAAATAACTGCTAAAAATCTAAGATGATTTTCAAAGCGTCTTGTAAAGAATTAAACACAACTGACTAGTTGATATGATTATTCTCCTGGTATATGCCGTATATGCCTGGTACTCGTGTCTTCGGATAAATAAATTCTAGAACACTGAGAATGGTTTCGGAGGATTCTATTCTGGTTCCTTCCCGGATCCGACCCAACCCAATCTCCGGACCCGACCCAACCCAACCAATCCGGACACTAGCAAACCAAACAAATTCGGATCCGACCCAACCCAATATAACCGAATAGTTTTAACTACTGAACCCTACGTACAGATAAACTGATTTTTTCTTCTCATATTTACGATTTTAACCTACCGTTGTTTATGCACTGAAACTACAGATTACCCCAGAACTCCGGAGTCATTAAAAGAATTGATAAAATGTCGTTTTCTGAACCTACTGATAATGGAATGTTGCAAATATTTTTTTATTATATGGAGCTCTTTAAAACTGTTCCCGCATATTTAATGTTTATTTACTTATTTTTACAAATACTGAGATTTAGGTATAAAAAACTCTGATAGAAATTGAAGTAGAATATGCCCTGCTCACTTGGTAATTTTACTTTCCGCAAATCCACAGTGATAATATACAATATACGTGTAGATATTAATCCACAGTGAGAATATACAATATACATGGAGATATTAATCCAGTGAGAATATACAATATACATGTAGATATTAATCCACAGTGAGAATATACAATATACATATAGATATTAATCCACAGTGAGAATATACAATATACATGTAGATGTTAATCCACAGTGAGAATATTCAACATACATGTAGATATTAATCCACAGTGAAAATATACAATATACATGGAGATATTAATCCACAGTGAGAATATACAATATACATGTAAATATTTTACTCTGTCAAATCAAAATACACTTGGGGAGAATTATGAAACTTCAAGAATATAATGATAGGTTATAAAATGTAAGAACCAAATCCGTTGTAATTTCTCTATCCATGGTTTGTTATGACACTAAGACCTGCTTAACGCAATATTAAGCCAATATTCAGAGGAATGAAGAAAAAACTCTCTTTACGTATCTCCAGACTGAAACGGAGAAAATAGAAATAAACAAATGTATGAAGAAATTAATAAAATAATTTTTTTATGTGAATATAGAAATCTTACTTGTCATTAAAGATATTTAACACATGTGTTTGTGCACCAGCAGTGGAATTAGAGGAAGTATTCAAGATTTGTCATGAGGGAGTGGCAGGGGGCCATAGAGGCGTGGCAGGACTAGCAGTAGGATCACAAGCTATAGGGATGCACATGAATCCGGCGCTTTTAGGTTATGATGAGCAACTTTTCAGCAGGCTGAAGGTCTTCACGAATGACATGCAAACTGGTTCTGCTAAGCAAGGTAGAATGCTGAGCAACAAGATATTGTTATCCCAAGGGACAGGTCTAGCTTTCAGGCAAGTCGCAATGACTCTTGGTCTCACATCAGACCAAGCTGAGAAATATGGTAGCCAAATGGAGGAGTTTTTGAACTCTAACTCTGGGATTAGCCTGCTGCAGTGACATGTGGTTGTGCATAAAAATCCATACCAAGGAGAGAGACATGTTATACATTGGTATACTGTTCTATTACTATTCCATATTCTTAGCTCTGGTAACAGATATAACACAGATCTAGGGTCCCATCACCAGCTATACCACCAGCTAGAGAACACAGTACATTCCCATCCCAGGCCTCTCAATAAACATTAATATTTATTACTCTAAACTGAAACCTAATTCTGTATACTGTAATACGACAAAGTTGTGTAACTTGGTGCTTGGAGCTAGAATTGAATTCGAATCAGATTTAAAACAGAAACATAAGATTCTCAGCTCTTAACTAGTATACAGACGTGGTTTAGTTTTTAATCGGATATTTTTTATAAAATATGATGACCGTTGAACAATAAAGAACAAGATATAAAAAACTTGTCTGTCTGTCTGTTTGTATCCAATAAATGTCAAAACGGCTGAAATGATCGGGTCCAAATTTTTTGTGGGATCTTGCGTGACCCCAGGGAAGGTTTATGAATGATAAAATTAATAAAAATTGTGTTTAAAATTTTTTCTTTTTGGTAAAAAAAATTTTAATCTTGAAAATCCGCTTTTTTTTATAAAATCTGCGAAATTTTTTGTTCTTTTTTTCGATGTTACAATGAGAGCATGTTCACAATTGAAAAAGAAGATAGGCGCGAAGCGCCCTAAAAGCCTGGTACAAGGTAAAACTTAATATTTCTGTTGTATGTCGGATTGTTTGGATTCAAACACTAAACACGGCTGAACCAATCGTGTGCACTCTAAATAAACAGAGATTTGTCAAAATTTTGCAAACGAACCAACAAAAATAGGAAATCCACGAAATTGTCATGGTTTGTTGGTTTATGTACGAAAACAAAAATGATATAAAAACTAAGAAGTAAGAACTGTCAGTCCGACTTAAGTATGATCGCGGAAAAATAACAATAACGCGGATTTAAGAGTTCAGTAACACATGACCTATTAACATAATTTTTTCGCATTTTCTCTTCTATACATATGAAAATTAAAAGAACTCAAATTTAAAGATTGTTGAATTATAGACCAAAATATGATTGAATTCAAACAGAAGAAACGAAACGTATCTCGCCCTGGACCAGGGTGGGGTTGAATCTAGTATGCCTGTCGAATTTCGATGTTTTTCAATTGATTTTCACCTGTTCAATAACTTTTTTTCTCCCCTAATTCCTCCAACAGAATTCGACTTTTGCTGTTTCGTGCTTTTACGCCGCATGCACGAAACAATTTTCCCTTTTATTCTTTGATAAAGTAAACTTCTAGAGGAATGAAGGGGATAATATCGTACACGAATTCAAACCTTGTCCTAGAAACTTTACAATAACCATTATCCATGCCTGAATTCTGACCTTTTTTGGTTAAATGTAATTACTGTAAGCGTAATTCATGTGACCCTCCATGCAAAGAAGGCAATGCCTGATTTACATCGTTACCCTTTAAACCGTTAAGTGTTCATCGAATACAGAGATCTCTATATGTAAACTTATCGAAAACCGCTAGTATTCTTACAAATTCCGATGTGCGCTGTGTACTCGAAACAGCTGATATGTTACTATCGTCCCCTGAAAATATTGTCTTTTTTAACGTTAAAAGCAGTTTTCGAACATTCGAAAGTAAATATGTATATGTATTTTCTGCCACTTCTAGAAAGTAACTACTGATATTCCAGAAATATGTAACAGCTTGCAAACAAAGTGTTTAAGATTAATAAGGATATTTCTAACATCCTTAATCAGTCAAAGGTTTAAAGAGGGTACCGTTGCGAATCGGAGAAGCCCCTCTTTAAATGAAAGGTCACTTGAAATTACATTGACAAGTCCCTTTAAATAAAAATTATTTAACTTTGATGATTGTTTAACATAAGCTAGATATTTAAGTAAACATACAATGCTTCAATTAGAATAAATATCTAAAACTTTGCACGAATGTGTCGTAATTGTTGCCCAGTCTTCGCCAACTAAGATCGACAGTGGTAATTTATTGTAACGAAACAAACCATATATAATTGATCCAAAACCATAATTTACCTTATCTATATTAATTTCCTTAGGTTGGATTAAAATCAGTGGTTAAATAATCAATTGTAATTGCGAATTTAATCAAATATGATCATAAAGGAAAAATCAGATTAAAAGGATCGGATCAGCATGATTATGTTCTACGAGATCATTTTGGTGGGTTTTATTTTTTATGTATTGTGTTTTATTTAATCTTTTTCTAGTATTTATGTAAAATATTATATGTAGTATTGTCTCAGACCTTTCAGTTCTCGACCTAATTATTAAAACTCTTCTGCCGCCGTAATGGCCTACCTTCGCGATATGAAATAAATAGCAAAATATTTGGCATACTTCTGCCTATCATTTTCCCCATGGAACTACCTGGACAAAATCTATGGTTTCACTATAATCAACAAAAAAGATGAAAGTTCTATAATCTCGGAATTATTTGCGGCATCTAAAAATGCGCGTAAAAAAGGTCAACATTTTTAAGAACTCGAAAACTTCAATTCAATTGAAACTATTTTTTTGATTTACTAAAATTCAATATTTTATTTATGCCCTAATGTGGCCCGATTCTTAAAAAATGGTTTTAACTTGGAGGACTAGACACTTTTAAAAGATAATACTGGAAAGATGAGGATTTAGAGGTGGCTCGGACGAGAAAATGAGGAGAATGTGGCTCGGACTAGAAAATGTTGTGGCTGGCCTTCCTTCCTCTCGTTCCTGCAGGGTCCGAGAAGTTCATAATGGAATATAAAGACTCAGAGAAATCCCCAAATAAGGATTAGTTAGATCTTAAAAGATTTGAAGTGGACGGTGCGTTTAGCGTTGTTTGCAGGGGCGTATACAAGGGGGGGGGGGCAAGTTTGGAAAAGTGTGATTGGCCCATTCCTAACAAATTCCTGGCAAGATTATTATAATTATAATGATAATGTTGAAAAAAAAAACTATAGTTCCAATCCTGTACAACCGTTCACATAGCACCATGTAAAGGATTGTATCAGTTGTTAATGAACCATGCGAGTGGAAAGATATCTTCGCTTCCTTCTCCTACCCTTCACCCTTCCGGGATCCTTCGGGTAGAACTAGAATGTTTCAACGTTAAGGTTTAGTGGTTTAGTGGTTCAATGGTTAGCCTGACCTCAAGTTTAAATATTTATATTTTTAAAGAGAATGTTTGCGTAATTAATAAGGACTCCAATGTATTAAAGTTCGAGGTGTGATCAATAAGTTTCGCTAAAAAAAAACAGGGGTACTTGTAGAAGTCTGAGCCCTGTAATTTTTTTTGAAAGTTCATTATGTTTATTCCGGATTGTTTTTTAGATTAGTTAATGTCAATCTGATCATTCGTCACAGCATGAAAATTTTCAAAGTGGTCTCAAACTTGATCTATTAGAGTCTGTTTTAGACCCTTTAAGAGCGATCAAAAGCAAGAAAAGGTTGAGTATTGAATGTATGAAGGACTTTTGAGGATTTTTCTGCTTTTGATTTACATTTTTGATCCATAGTCAACGTAATCCCTTTGGTACTCTTTGGAACTATATCAGACTTCTTAGGGACAAATTTAACTCAGATCTTTGTCATTTTTTTAATCTTGCTTTACAACTTTGTTTTCTTTGTATTAGCATATTCAGGCTGTCTGGCAAACATACTTCTTGAACCCTTGCTAATATGGGTCTTTAATATTTTTGAACATTTTTGGGGTCTTTTCTTGCCCAGACATGTCATAATCGTTCAATTATTCATTTTTTAACCCCATTAAACCATTATTAAAATTTAAAGTTCGTAAAATAGTTTTTAAATGCGTTCTGGGTTTTGGTTGGTTTTTGCATTATTTAATAAAAATATTTTTGGTTAACCAAGCCCCCAAAGTGTCTCTTTTTAGGGTCAATATTCTAGATATTCCTATGCTGTGACAACGAAGCTAATCAACCTTCAGGATAATACTCCTTACATCACAACAATTCACTTGACGCTAACCCGGCCAAAAATGTATCCGGTGTATAGATATAGTGANTGAACAACAATGTTAAGTTTTACTTACTTTTTTTCATTATCACCAACCATGACTAACCATGTCCATATTCAGGATTAACAGATGAAACTAACCCTGTAACCTTCAGGATAATACTCCTTACATCACAACAATTCACTTGACGCTAACCCGGCCAAAAATGTATCCGGTGTATAAATATAGTGAACTTAAAAAATATATTTGAGAGCTAAGACTTCAGAAGTAATTTTAGCGAAATTTATTGATCACACCTCGCATTTCAAAAGAACATATGAAAAAAACTCCTAGATTTGTCTATTGCCAGATTCGAAATGACATCATTCTTACCAACAAAGGTTTGACTGGCAATGCTTATAGTTGATATAATTCCTTTTTTTTTTGAAAATTGTCCTTTTCTATTGAAATTGGCTGAGTTTTCAAGAACACAACAAAGAATTGAATTAGTTGACTATATGTAGCAAAAAGCGTGTAAACATGATATTCTGAAACTTGCAGTACGTTGTACGTCATAAATGATTTAATGTTTTAAACTTAGACATAATGAGATTATTCATTGAAACTGCTGTGTTTCAATTGAATACTTAACATTTTTAGCTCAAATCATGCGACATCCTTAGATTACGCTAAAAAAATATGGACAGATATAACAGCGTAATATCTAGTCTCTTTAATCCTTTAAATAAGTACCTTCAACTTTAACTGTGCGATAAGTACGTAATAATACGATGGACTTAATCATGTGATATCAATAACATTGTCTTTTTCTAGTATTTATGTAAAATATTATATGTAGTATTGTCTCAGACCTTTCAGTTCTCGACCTAATTATTAACAAATCTTTACTGTGGCAGGGGGCCATAGAGGCGTGGCAGGACTAGCAGTAGGATCACAAGCTAAAGGGATGGACATGAATCCGGCGCTTTTAGGTTATGATGAGCAACTTTTCAGCAGGCTGAAGGTCATAGATTACGCTAAAAAAATATGGACAGATATAACAGCGTAATATCTAGTCTCTTTAATCCTTTAAATAAGTACCTTCAACTTTAACTGTGCGATAAGTACGTAATAATACGATGGTCTTAATCATGTGATATCAATAACATTGTAGGAATTGAATTACGTCCATTCCTGTTAATTTTGTAACCTACGCTTTTGAATAAAGTTAGTTGATTGAGACAGTGCTTTTGATTACGTTATCAGAAGCCTAAGTAAGCTTGGAAGACAGCTTTGGTTCTCGTTGAAACATACAAGCGGAGATCTTTGCTAGTTGATTTAGCATTGAATCGAATATAGCTTGGAAGATAGCTTGGGTCCTCGTTGAATTATACGAGTTAAGATTTGGACTGTATCCTTTAGAACCAGGGAGTTAAGCCCGGTTGAGAAATTGCGTGTGTGTTTAGCAATTTCATTGGACTGTGTGTCCTTTAGAACCAGGGAGTTAAGCCTGGTTGGGAAATTGCGTGTGTGTTTAGCAATTTCATTGGACTGTGTGTCCTTTAGAACCAGGGAGTTAAGCCCGGTTGAGAAATTGCCTGTGTAGCAGTTCCATTGGACTGTGTCTTCTTTAGAACTAGGGAGTTAAGCCTGGTTGAGAAATTGGCTGTGTAGCAATTTCATTGAACTTTGTGTCCTTTAGAACCAGGGAGTTAGGCCTGGTTGAGAAATTGCCTGTGTAGCAATTTAATTGAACTTTGTGTCCTTTAGAACGAGGGAGTAAGGCCTGGTTGAGAAATTGCCTGTGTAGCAATTTCATTGAACTTTGTGTCCTTTAGAACCAGGGAGTTAATCCTGGTTGAGATTCGGACTGTGTGTCCTTTAGACCCGAAGAGTTAAGCCTGGTTGAGATAGTGTCTTTGTGGCATTTAGAGAGTTGGTCCTGGTTGATCTTGGCACGAGTAGACCTGGATAGATACGTCTCGAGTAAATTGTTATGGAGTAGGTATTAGCTACATATATACGTCAATTTGAATACAATTAAAGAGAGAGGTAGAATCGATGATTATTAACCTTTCATGGCTCGTGTCTTCTTTGGAAACAAAATTAACAAGTTTGCGAGAAGATTTTCAGAACTTTTTTCAGTGTGCCTCGGAAACGAATCTTTCACTCAAAACTTTCTGATGTTTTTCTTTCCACTCAGTTTGTATTGGTTTTACGTTTAAAGGTTGAAAATAAATGTTTTACCTTCAGAGAAATGTAAAAGTTTGTTTTTATATTGTTTTGTGAAGAAAGATATAAAAGGTCTGTCAATCTAATTTTCAGTGACCCATATTATAAAGAGTTACACAACGGTTCTTTCTAAACCTTTACAAGAGAAACAATGACGATTAAAGGGAGTATTCGCGAAAAATGAAAGGGGGTATCGGCCTACGGCGAACAATAATCGCTTTTGATCATTACTATAATCTTACTTCTATCTGTTGCGTCTATAAGGAAAATTTTTTTGAAAACGACTCATGCTGAAGAACGCAGCGTCCATACAAACTCAGAAAGTTGCAACATTCAACTCCGATCGTAAAACAATCAATTAAATTCCAAACAAATCATTCAGATATTACAACCAATAATCATCGATTATTTTGCAACGCATGCGTATACAGTTAATACTAAATATTATTTTGATTTGGTAATCTCGAGCATTCCTGGAAAATATGAAAATGTCGTCTTCATTATCAAAAATTCTCGAAACAGGAATAAATGTTTTTAAAATTAACTATAAGATTATAAAAATAAAAATTATTATGAATTATTATTTTAGTGCTGGCCTGGAGGGGGCAAGGGAGATGCAGATGAATAAAAGAAACCAAGATACAGCTCAAAGTTCGAGAACCCCTCGGCAAGAGTTCCCGTCAGATACAAATAGTATTAATGGTAAATGGAAATGAGTCTTTGCCACAAACTCAAACTTTCTTATCCCTCCACCTTCTGAACTTGATGATGCAAAGAGTGCACAACTTAGATTATTTTTTTCCATATCATTCATAGTTTGAAATATCTAAGGTAGACGACATCGGGTTTCAAAGATATAAATAAATAAATATTTTATTAGGCACATGTATGAAATAGATGTACAAGGGTTGAAAACACATTGATGAATTCTATATTTTTTTTATAGGTATTATAAAATCAGAGTTTGTGGCAAAGACTCGATTCCTTTGATTGAGATGGGGAGGGGACTATTGTATGAAAGAATTCCAATCTATAATCCCTGAACTTGATATTCGCAATAGAAACTTTTAATTTTAAGCGATTAAGCAATTTATTCTTGGATCTCGAATTTCTGCCCGTTAAGAGATATTTACTAGGATTAAAATGCTACGTAAGGAACTGAGTTTTCCCCCAAACTAAAAATTTATCATCCCTATATCTTTGCAACCTGATAACCTTTGATTAACAGAATTCATAATTTGAAATGTCAAAAGTCTACGAAATCAGGGTGCAAAGATACAGCGGTTATAAATCAGAGTTTGTGTCAAAAACCCAGTTGATTCCTTTGTGAGATAATTAAATAAAAATTTCCCACATTTTAATACTTCAAATCTACGATCCCTTGCTTCTGGCTTAAAAATTTAAAAATGTATGTAAGACAAGTTGGAGAGAACATTTAAAATAAGGCTGAGGAGCAGATGCTTGAATACAAATGAGAATTTGGAACAATTGAACATGATAACTTAAATATTTTTATCTTTGAGGAAAGTTCTGTAGTTTTTTGGGAAAGGAAAAAAATAGTTGTAAGAATCTCATCCCAATTTTTAAAAAAGTATTCGACAATAGGACATTGCTTTGAACAACAATGTTAAGTTTTACTTACTTTTTTTCATTATCACCAACCATGACTAACCATGTCCATATTCAGGATTAACAGATTACCAAATAAAACTAACCCTGTCAATTTTCAGGATTACCAGACAAAACTAACCTGTCTATATTCAGGGTTACCAGATGAAACTAACGAAGACTGGAAGAGTATATGGATTAGAACAGGAACAGTACCAAACAGTATCAGAGATATGCCAGATCATAGGTTAGAATTCTAAAAGATCATCTTGAGAGTAGCAAATACTAATTTTCTGGATTTTATTTGGAGTTTTAACAAAAAAAATTTCTTTCATTTTTTATTAAACCGGGGTGGTTTTGAACTCAGAACAGTAATAATTATTCTAATCATCTATATTGAACAATAAGAAACAGAGCGCTTTAAGATTTCAGATTGGAGAAATTTTGTGTTTATTGCTTCAAATCTCATACAAGCCATGTAAGTTGATGAATGAATGCTGCAAATTATTTTTAATCAAAGACGATCGTCGTGCCATGTTTCATGGGACACCCTTTATGTGTGCGTGATAATGCAGTTTTACTATAAATGTGTGTTACTTTTTTATTGTAAATATAATTGGTTAATACTGTCATGTTTCGTGGGACACCCTGTACTTTAATTTATGAGAAAACTTACTTTAATCTTGAGTTCGTTTATTTTAAAAGTTTTATGTCGTCCTTACAGTCTCATTGTACTTCCCCGGACAAATTCTTGACTACCCCCTAATTTGGTTCTTTTGTTCTCTATTTATACTAATTTAAAACGTTTCTAAGATTGTTTGTGAGGTTTTCTAATGGGATTCAAATCCGGCCAAATGATACTGTAACTACAGGACTGGTAGGTACACCCTGATATACATACAGTATTGACCAAAAACAGGAGAATGTTTGCACAAATTCTATATGTCATTATTTATTTATTTCTAAAAATGGGCCTTACATTGAAAAAATATATCTATTGTAAATTAATCCTCAACTTGGTTAAAATAAGAAACGAAGACGACAATGGTTCTTGGTCACATTACAGTGCTAAATCATAATACGTTTTCAGAATTGTTTTTTTTAAATTATTAAATAACGACGACAAAAAATGTCAACAAAATTCTACAGTAAACTAATTAGTTGTTTAGGAACAGGTTGAGAAAATAAAAATTAACTCTTATCATTGAAAATAAGAAATTCAATATAACGATGAAAAAGAACAATTAATTTTAACTTCGATTTATTGACAAATATAGAATTTTTACTATATTATTCGTTGTCGTTATTTAATAAATAAAAAAAAAACAATTCTGAAAACGTACCCACCCAAATTCATGATTTTGAACGTCAACTTTGCGCTCTAACTCATTAATTATACATCGTGGAAACCTTTTATATGTCTCAAATGAATCCTAAAGAATTTTTCCACAAAACTGCATACTCAGTTTAACTACCTTACATAGCCGGTCACTCCCTTTAATGGAAAAATAATGGACTATGGCTTCGACGATAGTCCGCAAAGTCCTATTTTTTTACCGCCATATGACGTAGATTACATATATTTAAACAACATGAGGTGGTACTTTTTCAAGTAAAATTCTAAATTTTAGAAGTTAAAATTTTCTTTTTCTCAGTAAGATCTATTATATCAGAGCTGAAAACTTTAGAATGGGATATCCTTAATCCCGATCGGTTAATTCATCTGGAGATTTATAACAAGAGAATAACAAGCATTATTTAATCTCGAGATTAAGAAAAAGAGTGGATCAAGCATTAATCCCGATATCTACCATTCAAAAGCTCCCAGCTCCGATTAGTTTCTAGCTTCTTATTCTCAGAACTCAACTTATAAATTTTTATTATTATTCATAACCTTAATCCAAATATTTGAAGTATCCTTATAATTAAGATGTTGACCCCCCCGGAGCTATTGTGGAGAACAGAACCTGGATCTCTTTACACAATTCTCCTGGTTAATACTGATATAGAGGATTCTCTCCAGGTACACAATTCTCCTGGTCAATACTGATATAGAGGATTCTCTCCAGGTCAATACTGATATAGAGGATTCTCTCCAGGTCAATACTAATATAAACGATTCTTTCCAGGTACACAATTCTCCTGGTCACCACTGATATAGAGGATTCTCTCCAGGTACACAGTTCTCCTGGTCAATACTAATACAGAGGATTCTCTCCAGGTACAATGTTCTTCTAGTTAATACTGATATAGAGGATTCTCTCAAGGTACATTAATTTCTCCTGGTTAATACTGATATAGAGGATGCTCTCCAGGTACACAGTTCTCCTGGTCAATACTGATATAGAGGATGCTCTTCAGGTGCACGGTTCTTCTGGTTAATACTGATATAGAGGATTTTCTACAGGTACACATTCACACCGGACTAACCAGAGTGAGCAGCATTCGGTTTCTTTTATTTGAAATCAAACGTGTTTTGGTCTTTAATTCAATAATATATAAAAATATATTATTAAATGATTAATCATTAGTAATTACCACATCTTTTTATCACTTCTTTGGATTACAGTTGCAACATTGTAACATGATAACTGTGTCAGGGTGGGAGGAGGTCTCCTGGTCGTAAGTTTGTAAACTGGATGATCTCGAATGTTCCTCTTCTTGACCTTGACGCTGGAAATGTTGTCTTTCCATATATTCCCAGGTACAGGGTGTCCCAATAAACATGGGAATTCAGTGACGAATTCGATATCGTCTTTTCAAATAATTCTTTGATTTCGTATAGTGATACCTCCTGAGAAAGCTGTAATCTGTAAGAGTTTCGTCTGCTATGTTCACATTTTGTTTGTTTATGTTTTGACTGCATACGGTTGTACTTAGTAAAACAAGAAAATTGCAGAATACAAACAGAGTAAACTTGTCCATATTAAGTTCACTGTTCATCTTGCGGAGACATTGTAAACACATCTTTGCAGTCTTTTACCCTTTTCATAAAATAAACATAATAATAATATGGCTTTTGAAATTAGGTATTACAATGCTAATTCATAACAAAGACGATATCGAATTCGTCAATGAATTCCCATGTTTTTTGGGACACCCTGTAGTTTACTCAAGTTTCATCAAATAGATTGTCAAGCACAATAGATGGCAACAGTTCGACCAACTGCGCACAACAAGAGTGTCAAATGTAAAAAAGAAATACGACATGTTGTCCAACTATAGTTAATATGATTTCCAAGATTCAGATTAGTTAAATATCATCATAGTAAGAATACGTAAAATATCCCAAAACCTGTTAAATAGAAAGACAACTCAAAGAGTATATATACTATATTTACTTTCATTTGTACGGTTTAGCATGTTTTCTTTTCTTTTAAAATAGGGCGGGGTATTTAAATACTTAGGGTTCAATTACAAAGGCCAGCTATTTTTTTGAAAATTTAAACCTCTAACTTTTTGAGAACTCAAATTACATAGAGTATATACTATATTTACTTTCATTTTCAAATGTGTTTTACTATCTCTAGTTTAAATACTAACAAAACAGTATGATAAAATGTCGATTTTTTAGAAACAATGTTTTACTGTTATTTGTGTTTGAAGGAGGGATAGAGTAGTACTTGCAAGATAATTGGACTATATATGAACCTTTAGAGTATCTTATACTTATGCCTGATATCCAAGAAGCCAAATGTTTTGAATTTACAGTTCAAATTCCCCCCTTGCATANCGCCCCCCCCCGATTTATTTCTGCATACGCCTTGAGAGATGATTTCAAGCAAGGTTATAATGCAAGGAAAGTTATTTCAGAGGTTTACGCATCTTTTGTACTGCAGTGTACTGTCTCTGGGCGGTAATGTAAACACAAGACGGATGTGGAAGTCTGGGAAACATGGGATCCATCTTTCACATAAAAAATCAATAAAACATTCTGGTCATAGGAAACTAGTATGTGAATTATCAAAATTATCAAACTAAACGAACACTTTCACAAAGTCCACCTAGAGAGAACTGGTCTCAATATGTACGCAGAGTGTACGCAACTGCAGTCTGCAATTAACGTTTCTTTCATTATAACCTTGATTTCAAGGATGTACGAGGATTGGAAGATTAATTTGGATAATATATTCTAGCAGAAATTCTGCGCCAATACTATTTTTGAAATGTATTATTTATACATAAAACTTTTTTGTAAAATCCGGATTTATAATGACAAATAAATCTTCCTAATCCCTCCATATTTATATTTTTCTAAATCTTGTTTCTAATTTGAATAAATTATCATAAATTTGAATAAATTGTGGTCAGCAGAAAGTAGGAGTTTTGCGTAAACAAAAAAATTAAATCAATTAAAAAGAGATATAAACAGACGTAAAGAATTCCACATGTACAGAGTGTACAGGGTGTACAGGGTGTACAGGTTGTACAGGGTGTACAGGGTGTACAGGGTGTACAGGGTGTACAGGTTGTACAGGGTGTACAGAGTGTACAGGGTGTACAGGGTGTACAGGGTGTACAGGGTGTACAGGGTGTACAGGGTGTACAGGGTGTACAGGGTGTACAGGGTGTACAGGGTGTACAGAGTGTACAGGGTGTACAGGGTGTACAGGGTGTACAGGGTGTACAGGGTGTACAGAGTGTACAGGGTGTACAGGGTGTACAGGGTGTACAGAGTGTACAGGGTGTACAGGGTGTACAGGGTGCCCAACAAAACATGACAGTTAGAATACGACTAGAAGGTCGTCTGTGATCTTTGAAATAATAAGCGGCATTTATCGTGTCAATATAATTTTAGCTATATTATTCTTGAATCAATAATCACAAAATTAAATTACAATATTACCGGAAATATTAAGAATTTTTCTCAGATATTAAGAAATTAGAGAAAACTAAAATTTTTGAAAACTAAAAATTCTTTCACGGTAATTTTTTTCAGCACAAAAATGGATGACCGCATTTTGGAAATGCAAGGAATAGGGATATCTTGTGATTATTAAATTCAATATGTTTACTTTTACAATTAGCCTGACGTTTATTGCCTCTAATTATTTCAAAGATTTAAGACGATCTTAAAGTCGTCTTCTAACTGTAATGCTTCGTAGATCATCCTGTACGTGCATTACATGGTTTATATTTATATAAAGGGAAGTCAAACATTATAGAAATCCAATGTATAGAAATCGCTAGATATAGCAATAAGGCACACTATAACCGGAAGCTAGATTTTAAGGTTCTAAAGCTTTTGCTTTATAAATAAAAAATACAATTTTTAGAGTATTTCTATTGTTATCAACTATTTCTTTAGTTTCAGGACGATGGACTATTGACTACACACCAGTGTTGGAAACTTAAAAAATTATCGTTGAATGAAAAATATAGTGAAATCTACAAAATTTTCGTACCCATTCGTGAAACCCGGTTTCATTACGATACCTTGTCTTAAGCTCTGGGCTCTGGGGTTAAAGTGAAGAACTGGTTCAAGTTTCTCCCATCTCCACTTTATACACAACAATATTTAGTTTAGCGTGTTTTGAACCACATGTTTTATCAGAAGTCTAGAAGATAACTTGATATTAAACTATTGAAGTCAGTTTACACTTGTCACTCACAGTCACAGAAGATTTTAGTAATAACACTTTCTTTAATATAATATAATATTAAGAATAATTTGATTTTAAAAATATGTTTTTTATGATAATAATAATAATATGATAATAGTGATAATAATGATTATTATCATTGATAATAATGATAATAATAATGAAAATAATGATAATAATGAAAGTAATGATGATATTAATAAGAATGGCAATAATGATAATAATGATATTTTGTATTTGTTGCACACTTATAAATAAGGATGAGATTATTCTCTGCAAATTACTATTTAAAATAACAAATAGGACACTAGATGTTGTGATTTAAATATTTAGGGGTTTTTCGTTCACAATATCTCTTTTGGGCTTCTGCCTCATGAGTTATTGTGAACGAAAAACCCATACACCTTGAAAAGACTAAATCTAGTGTCCTATCTGTTATTTTAATTAATCTATGGGTTTAAAAAAAGTTTTTCTTAGATTTAAAACAAAATGGATCCCTGTATTGTTTTAAACAATGGTGCGCGAATGCCTCGTGTTGGATTAGGAACCTGGAAAGCACCAGCAGAGAAGACGAAGGAAGCTGTCCTTACTGCTGTGCGGGCTGGATATAGATTAATTGATTGCGCCAACGATTACGACAATGAACACGCTGTCGGAGAAGCGCTCCAGGAGCTACTGTCAGCTGGAGAGGTTAAGAGGGAAGAGTTATTTATCCAAGCTAAACTCTGGAACTCTAACCACAGACCTGAGCATGTTAAACCTGACCTAGAAGCTACTCTCAAGGATCTTCAGCTCGACTATATAGACTCATTTGTCATACATTGGCCCCAAGCTGTCCCTAGTACAGGTAATCGGATCTCTCAGAATGTTCATAGATTTTCTTATTTAAAACTTTTGTAAAATGCTATTCTTGAATTTCTTAGCAGGAAAATTTACGTTTTTTTCGATACATATTAAAGAAACACTGCAGAAACTAAAGTATGCCACATAAATTTCACTAGAAAGGGATCATTCATTTGGCGTGCAGTCCCGTTTTGCCTCATATAGTCTGTATTTGTACTGTTCTGCTTGCCCAGGTTAGCTGAAATTCGGCGTGCATGTACATGAAATGAACTGCAATGTACCGTGATGCAAGCTAGTTCTTTTAAACTGAATCTAAAACAAGCACTTTGTAAGTCTTGGTGAGGCAGTCTTAAAATCTGATGCATTCTTTCCTGGATTAAGTTGTGATTAGCATTGATTCTGGATATACTACTTCTAGGAAAGAACCCGACCCTGAGGCCTGACGGATGTTTCCCTGCCCATTATTCAAAGAACTCCATGTTCCCTTTGGACGATGAAGGTAAAATTTACTCTTCAAATTATTCCGTTTTCAATGAAGATAATTAATTCAAGATTGACACTTTTAAAAAATTTTTCAATGGCCTCCAAAATTGCAGTTGGAAACTGGGGTTTCATTGATAGAAATGGACGATAATTTTGCTTTAGACAGCACTTTACAGATGTATTGATCAAGGGGATAATGAGTACCAATCAAAATAATTATTCATACCCCTTGCAGTTTTATTAAACACTCCCTTTAAGGTTACTACTCCGCTGACCTGGAGTCCCACTATATTGAGACCTGGGCAGCTATGGAGGAACTGGTAGATCAGAAACTAACTAGATCTATTGGTTTATCAAACTTTAACAGGTAAAAGCATAATTTATTACAATAATTGCCGCCAGAAGTTAAAGTGGAAGACGACCTGAAATCAGTCAATTGTGTTTTCGAGATTATATCAAAAGTCATCACTTCATCCGTTAATCTTGAAGTTTAATAGAATAATTTGGACCCCCCCCCCCTCCGAAATAGCCATAAAAACTTGATTGTGAATAAAGGAGGCAGGTTGAAGAAGTTCTTCTCTCTGCTGCTAAGTATAAGCCTGCAGTTCTACAGAATGAGAGCCATCCTTACCTTCATGAGAAGGATCTCAGAGATTACTGTAGAGCAAACAATATTGCTTTCCAGGTTAATATTTTTAAGAAATAAAAATGTTTTGATCAAATTGAAAATTAAAAGAATTTTTGTTGATTCCGCATGTGTAGCGATAAATAGCAATTTCAAAGAAGCAATGATAAAATCTAGAAATTGATCACGGCTTATTTAGAGTTCTATTTTGGACACATAACGATTTATTTGATGGATTTTCAAATTGCAGATTAAAACCTGACTGATTTTGTTCCGATCCAACCCTCTTTATTTGGGTGCTGGATACGATAAAGGAGTCATTATTAGTTTGAAAATACTATTCCTTTAGGCGTATTCTGCTCTGGGATCAGCTGACCGACCCTGGCGAGTATCTGGGAGTATAACCTCGGGCCTACCAACCCCAGGATACGAGGTTCTATCTCATCCTCAACTACTGGAGATAGCTAACAAGGTATGACGATCCAAAACTCTGTAAATGTAAATGATGAAAATTTCTTTTGACTTTTTATGGTATTTATTAAATGATTTGGTTAGGAAAGAAACATGTCTACACTATGCACTGTATAGCTACAAGAGACCATGAATGAAAGAAACACAAATGAATAAAATCTGAATTCTTCAGTACCCGTGCATGTTACCCTCAATTGATGATATATTGCTTAAGTATGGGAAGACGGTTCCTAATGTAGTTCTGAGATGGCATATTCAGCTGGACGGAGCTTTGGTTTGTAAATCTGCTACTCCGTCTAGGATACAGGAAAACTTCAAGGTTTGGAAATTTTGATATTTTTTTTTAAATCTGAATTTTTAAACCATTGAGCACTGATTTCACACAAGGTTCGTTAAATACATGTTCTCATATTCAAATTGCTGGTTTTTCAAGATTTTTTAATATTTTAATGTACATTTTCATTAAGATTTGGGATTTCTCCCTCAGCGAAGACGACATGAAAGTTATTGACAAACTTAATGTTGGTTGGCGGCATTTGCTCTGGGCCGAGACCTCTATGCACCCAGACTACCCCTTCAAGGACTGCTTGCCTTGGGACTACAAGTAAGACTTATGTTATTGTGTTATTTATTTAAAAAGTAGAATAGTTTGCTTTCTTCTAAAATTTCTCATTTCCAAAAGAATTTAATGTAAATATCATTAATTAATCAATAATGAATTAAGCAAATGGTAAAATTAAATTTCTGTTTCTATGAATAACAAATTTATAAACACCCTTTTTTATCGCGCTTTCTAAGGAAAGCCATTTATTTTAGTTTAAAAGTTTCAACAGACAAAAAGCTTAGATCCTCCATCCAAAATTGAAACTAAGACAAAAGACGAAGAAAATCTAAGTCCCCATTTATCCTTTTATGAAAACCAATTGCAGTTTAATTCATGCTATTTGGGTTTCTTAATAAGAATAAAATTAAAATTGACTGCAAAAAAAAACTAGGAGATATGTAAAAAGAAAGGAATTGAGTCTTTGTCACAAACTCGAGTTTTGCAACCCAATGTCGGAGACCTTGGATATTTCAAACTATGAACTCTGTTAGATCAAATAGTCTAAGTTTGAAATAGCATAGGTTTACACCATTAGGTTGCAAGGTATTAGAAAGTTGGATTTTGTGGCAAAGACACAATTCCTTTGGCATTTAGTAATTAGATATGTTTTGTTTTATTTAATTTCATTTTATAAGCAGGGAACTTTTAAATGGAAATTACTGGTTAAACTCCCTCCCTCTCTCTCTCTCTCTCTAGGCCGAAACTTCAAGAGAGAATGAGATTAACTTATCTCTTGGATTTAAAAGTTTCCAACTTATAATTGGTTACATTTGATCATATCATCTAATGATCTAAAATGTTCTAAAATACACCTTAACGTGTTGTTAGTTATATCGAAATTTTTTCGGTATAGTTCGATATTTAGATCAAAGTGTTAGAGTTTCCTAAAGTAGTGTATAATTCTAATCCTGAATAAAATACAGTTGTAGGCGATTATATCAATACAATGAAGACGACTTTTTATTTAAGTTTTCATTGTTAACAAGCTTTTTTCGAATTTCAAGTTTACAAGTAATTAAAGAGATGCGTTTTCAATTGACATCTTCTCTTAGTTTCCATGTTTATGTGTATCTATGCTGTTTATAAGCTTGATATAAGTCAACATTAAAATCGAATATTGTCTTGTATTGATATAAGCGTCGACGACTGTATATTATTTATAATTGTAAACTGCTGCTAACTAAATAGTGATGAATTATGTTAAACAAACAAATTTTAAAAATCATTCCTCATGAATATATTTGACAAGGTTGGGTAAACCCAGTGCTGGATCAACGGCAGGAGCAAAGTAGAGTTTAATCCTCAACTCTAGAGCTTAATCCTCAACTCTGGAGTTTAATCCTCAACTGTGCAGCTTAATCTTCAACTCTACACTCTAAAGTTTAATCTTCAACTCCCCTTGCAGCTGTAAATTAAACTTTATAATAAATATAATAATGTTTTATGTTTTCTATTGAATAAAAGTTATTAATATTAATATTCGGTGATTTAAATAAAAATTTTAGGTTCCTCGTTTAATTGAATAAATTTACCTTTATTATTTGAATTTCCGTTTTGTTAAAAAGTATAAAAATAAAAGTTTATAGAAATCTCGATTTAATCTTTAGATTGTTCAGATACTAGATCGCCGAGATACATATTGAACTTCAAAAAATTATACTCCATATTCCTGAAAATCAAATATACTAGACTTTTAGGGCGCTTCGCGCCCATCTTCTATCTCAATTGTGAACATGTTTTTAATGTAACATTGAAAAACAAAGAAAAAAAATTTCGCGGATTTTATAAAAAAGATTAGCGAATTTTCAAGATTTTAAAATTTTCTACAAAATTATAAAGCTTTTCAACACAATTTTTTTTTAATTTTCATCTTTCATAAACCTTCCCTGGGGTAACGCGAGATCCCACAAAAAATTTGGGCCCGATCGGTTCAGCCGTTTTGACGTTTATTGGATACAAACTAACAGACACCCACCAAGACAAACAAGCCAAATTTATATATAGATTGATAATGTCACCCCAAACTAAGCTTTTGTGCGTACTATATCGATCTGCAGTACTCTGACCGCAGAAATAGCGGGTTTTAGTGGAGAATGATGTTCTATATAACTGTAAGGGATACCCACATAGGATGACAATTCAGAGACAACGGTAAAATCTGATAGATCAAAAATAATTGAGGAAATTGTACACAAAGGAACTGAGTACTTGTCACAAACTCAAATGCTCTAATCCTTATATCTTTGGGACCTAATGGTGTGAACCTTTGATATTTCAAACTTTGATTATTTAATATAACAGTGGCCAAATTTAAAGAAATTGAGCGGCGGTTTAAATTTAAGCTGCGGCTTAAATATGATTTGTTCCACTGAAAATTGTATCAAATGTTTCAAAATTTATGCCAGCGCTTAATTTAAACCGGGTTTTGGCAGATTTAAACCGCGGATCAAATTCTTTAATTTCCATCTCAGAATTCCTAGCTTGAAATATCAAAGGTCTACGACATTGGGTTGCAAAGATAAAGGGATTAGAAAATTGGAGTTTGTTGCAGTTCTTTTTCTTTATTTGCCCCATCCTTTAAAGGAATTTATAAGAATAAATATTACTGAGAGGATATCAAAGTTAACTTCCAGATCTTTGCTCTGCACTGACTTATTTATCCTTTGTGGGTAACCCTGTAGTGAAGTACGTGTATCCCCGGAAGAAAGTATTCTTTCCTTTTTTTTATAAAACTTACGGATCTTGTTATTTTAACATTTACGGTAATACAGTTGCTCAGACTTGTACAAATAACATCAAGGAAAATGGAACCTTCGTTCTTCAGTTTACTGAATTATCCACAAATTATACAATATTTTCAGCTTTATTTTTACATACATTTCATGCACAAAGAATGAGGGTTCAAAGGCGACATAAAACGATTAAAATATGACAATCCCTAGGCTAAATTTAGTTTTTAGCCTTGAATGTAGACTTTTTATGAATTATCAAATAAATTGACAAAGAGAGAAACAAGTATTCAGAATGGTAGATAATTATGAATAAGAGGAAAAAGATAATAATCCACATCATGTTTTGGTTTAAAAAGAGAAAATATGAAATATTTACATCTTTTCTAAACCAAACTTGCCCCATGCCTGTTATTTCATTAAAGTTCTTGGAAACAAAGAACTGAGATTCAATATTGTTGTTAGTTAGCAGTCTCAGCAGTATCTCTACAGTAGGTTTGTTTGTTTATTTGATTTGTGAGATATATCTAATCCTTAAATATATGTTTGGCAAACCCTGTAGTGATATTTCGGCACTCCTAGTTCTCTATAGTTCTACAGGTCTCACTTTAACACAGTATCCGTCCTTGTAGTTAAAGCTAGACTCTGTGTGACAGTTAAATTGTATACAAACATAGAGGCAGTGTACTGCAGCAAGTTAAATGAAAACAGTACAAATATAAAATCTGTTTTTAAACATTTACATTTTTTGTTTCTTCATACTGCACTGCACCTGCTTTCTACGGGAGATTCTACAAATAACATTTAAAAAAACATATTTAGGAGTTGCAATAATAATCATTTTACACTTTATAGAAAATTATTTAGGTCAAAGCGGAGTTCTAAGTGTCATTTTGTAGGATTAATATATTTAATATTTGATTAGATGCAAATCACTTTGCTTAATAATGCATTAATTTCCTAGATATGTATGATGCATGATATTTTAAATATGTATGATGCATGATCTTTTAAATATGTATGATGCATGATCTTTTAAATATGTATGATGCATGATCTTTTAGATATGTATGATGCATGATCTTTTATATGTATGATGCATGATATTTTAGATATGTATGATGCATGATATTTTAGATATGTATGATGCATGATCTTTTTAATATGTATGATGCATAATATTTGAAATATGTATGATGCATGATCTTTTAAATATGTATGATANGGGGGGGGGGGGGTTATTTCCCCCCTTTGTGGAATTTTTATTGTGAGGATACGATATGGGTAAAATTTAAGATGTTTAAAGAAAAGATATTAAATGTAAGTTTAGAAAGTTTGTGTGTGTATGTTAGGTATTTAGTAGAATTGCGTACTTTTGAATTCTTGCATTTTTTCAGCTGAAAACTGCATCCCAGTTAGGGTTTCAACATTTTCGTTCAATCACTTTCGCGAAAATTTCGTTCAGGCAACGAAAATGTGAGCGAAAACGAAAATTTTCGCTAAAATTTTTTTCGCAAAATTCGTTCGAAATTTCCGCGAAATTCGTAAAAATTTTCGATCTATCCTTCAAAATCATATTTTTTTTGAAAAACTAATTTCGTCGTAAATTTTGAACGAAATGAACGGATTTCGATCATTCATTTTCCCGAATTTCGTTCAACGAAAATTTCGATGGAAACCCTAATCCTACTCCGACCTGCAAACACTAAATATATTTTTAAAAATATAGATTATTTTACTACACAGAAAGAACACGAAAAGCATATGTTTGACTTATAGACCTTTCGTATATTCTAAATGTATTTAATTTTCTTATACCGGCTTTCGAGAAACTGTGAATCATGCACCAAACCTTCAGAACTAATTATTAACAGCTCGTATGTTCTTATTCATACAGATTTAACAGTTCGGTCCATTGCTCAGCAAGCTGTGACTTTCAAGCACAATTTGACTTCTTAAACATACATTTTCCGATTCAATCTTTTATAATTTGTTGTCAGCAGATGCGTGTTAAATGACAAAGTATAAAAAGACAACTCCGAAAGTTTGAAGATGTATTAGTAGACCAAATCGAAATTTAATTAAAATTGAAACAAGCGTATCTCGTTCTGATTAGTTCTAGGTGTATTGTGTCCTCTCTTGCCTTATTTGTATTCTATTAGAGGTTTGTATCTCTGACTGATTCAGATAGAACCATGAGCAGGATTGATAAAGATCCTTGCAAAAAACAGGAGAAACCTCGAGTTCTCAGCTCCAGGAGAGGGTTCAGTAAATCGTGCTACAATATCCATGAGGACTCCGGGTACTCCGGTAACCTTGACGAGACGGATGTATCCGGGTTTCCTTCTCCGAACCTGCACCTGCTTGCTCGGGACGGAGATACGGGGGATATTGAGAAATATCTCAGCTCCGTCTGTCTCCAGGAAAACCAAATCTAATTCAATACTCCAGATTTAAGTTTTGAACCAGCTAATGAATTTTATTATTTTTTTGCTAAATTCCCAGTCTTAGGGTGTCAATATTTTCAAGACATTTTTCTAATTTTACTTTTATGCGTTTAAAACGGAAGTGATCATTTAATTGCAGATTTTAGGAATTAAAGAAGTAATGATTTAACCAGCTTGTATGAAGAATTGTTGATTGTTGTAGATATTATCTAAACCAAGGAACTATATACAGGAACACCCAACTCAGATATACGCATATTATGTACTGTACACCGTGGGAGGAATGTAAACAAACCCAGTGCCTGCCCCCACTGAAGTTGAAGGGAAAGGACTACATCTTTGATGTGATATTTCAGTCCAACAAAAAACAAGTTAATATATCAAGTTAAAGCGAATACTTATGATTTTTGACTTTCTGGTCAATATGGAAAATACAAAAGCAATATATTTTTATTCCACCCTTTTCCTTCAAAAATGATGCGTTGTCTCTGAATTCTTTGTTTTGATCCCCTCCCACTGCAGTGCACAGATTTGATGCATGAGATATGGCGGTTCCTGGTCTATATATTTCTTGATCTAAACTTGGCTTGAAAGATAGACCCAATGGTGAAAGATAATAATAAGGATGAATACTAGTTTCGATTTTAACTAAATGTTATTTCCCTTGTAAACTTATCATTTGATTTTCAAGGAAATAAGATTTCTTTAATAAAAATTGTGTATTATGATATCTACAAATTATTATTTAATCTAACGCTGTGGAACTTTTCTCTAGCTCAAAAACTGTTGGTCAATTTTTTTATGAAACAATTTTTTTTGTAATTTTACTGTAAACATTTGATTTTGCAACGACTTTTAAATAAAATAATAATCAATCATTTTTATATTTAAAGAAAACAATTTCAGAATTATAACAGTTTTGTAATGATTTGATTTTGTTCAGAATTTACCAGATAAACTGGAATACAGGAATCGGTCAGGTATTTTTTTATATCAGAGAACAGAGAAGTGAAATAAAAAAGTCGTTTTTAAAAAAATGATTTTTGTAACAATTGGGGGAAGAAAAAATGAATTGTAAAGCTGCAGTGAAGTATAATGGCAAGAAAAAATACTATAATATTATTTCCTTTGTTTGGAATCCCTGAATCCAAGTTTAATGTAGTAAAATAGTAGTAGTATATCATTACAATGAAGACGACTTTTGATTTCATTTTTTAAATTTCTACCAAGCTTTCAAACAGCATGGTATGCACAAAACTTTTTACTTTTAAACTTGTAACTTAATAAAGTTTTTTGGAAATCAAAACTTAAATAGAAAAAACCTCTTTATTGTATGTATATTAATACCGAACACGATATCTGTAAAAATAGGTTTGATATTCAGGTTCAACTCCTCTCCATGTTGCCGCGTACTACGGGAACGGAGAAGCAGTTTCCGTCCTTGAAAGGTTCGGAGCAAACCGGTTTTACAGGAACAAGCTGGGGTGGAATGCTGGCCACTACGCAGGAAGATGGAGCCAACCCTTGGGTAATAGAACAAAATGTCGTCCTTCAAAGGAGAACAGAGTCTAAAACTAAAGAATGCGCGAATTTTAAGTTCGAGGTTAAAAGTTCTGTAATATAATGAATAGCTACTTAAATATTTAACTTTCTCAATTTTAAATTTGAATTTCCCGGGAAAAATTTCACCCAATCAGAGAAAAGGATTTATATGGAGAATATTACGTAACCATCGCTAATCAGCTGTTTTAGTTAACTTTTTAATATTTACGTAACCGAAAACAAAAAATATTTCCAGTTACAACCGTTTTTTGGGTTTACGTGCAAACATTAATTAATTTAAAACGTGAAATTTATTAAATCAAGGGTTTTACTTTTAAATATATCGTAATTAGTTGAATACGCGCCGCTTATCGCTGAATGATGATAGACAAATAGTGATTGCAGGATTTCAAGATTTTAACCATGTGTTTAATTTTAACTCGTCAATTTCGGCGAGTTAAATATTTAACCACAGGTTTAAATATTTAACCTCACGGTTAAAGTTCGGGTTTAAATTAAGTCAGAAGTGGCATTTAACCATGAACTTAAAATTTAAGTCAAAACTTTTCGTTCTTTAGTTTTAGACTCAGTTCTCTTACATTAAATTTTAAATTTACTTCTTCAAAACCTACTCACATCCTTATAAGATAAAAAAAACATTAAATAATCTTTGTTTCATGAACAACTTTAAGTCTAATGATTAAGACAAATAAAGTCAGAAAAAGAAACTACTAAAGACGACATTTATAACTGCCTTAGATATGCGGCTCCCCGTTGGACTTGCACCTGTTGCTCCGACTAGAAACAGTCAAACTTTTGCATTTGGCAAGGTAAGGTTTGCAAATTATCTACATTTTTATGATATTATATTAAGAATCAAATTTATGTTAGAATCAATGTTGATCCGATTCGTTCATTTTACAGATTTAGGGAATTGAGGAGTTAAAAATTTAATTTTATGGAACTCATGAGGTTTTGCCACAAACTAAAATTTTCTAATCCCTATATCTTTCCAACCTGATGGTGTACACCTTTTATTTATTTGTCTATTTTCAGATTCGCGAAAGGATGAGAAAGAAGGATGGAGAACGAGAGCAAAGAAAAGAGAAACTGAAAAGTGATTCCGGAATCTCTATCTTTGATTCTAAAGAATCCCTCTCCACTCATGTCATTTGATCTGAGGCTTCAACTTTTGGATGGGATAGAGCTCAGCCACTTCGATTGAACTTTATATCTAAAGCTTAAACTTGTAAATTAAAGGATGTTAGCCTGTAACTCCGGAAACTCCAAAAAGAGACAATTAAGAAATTAATCAGAGAACTGCAGGCTGGGAACTCTTGAATCGTGTTATGGAGATCAAGCATTGATCTCCATACAGTGGAGATCAAGCATTGATCTCCACTGTATTATGAACAAATTTTAAATACAAAAGTGTTCAACTCTGTATATCTGAAAATTATATGTATCTATGACAAAGTATTTACCTGCTATTCATAATTTTAAATAAATTGAAATTTGAAATACTGCAAATATTCATTATCCAACGTGTACTTAAAAACTAAAAAAGTCAGGATCAAGTTAAATTTCTGGCAAATAAAAAACGCAATCATAATTTGTGTTCACTTGGTTTTATGTCGGTTTTTTCTGATACAGCAAGTCCAGTCCAGTACATTGATGGTTTTAAAATATGTAGTCCACAAAAACTCCCAAAAATGTCCAAGACAATCCGATGTTTATGTAGGACTCCTCTGACTATACATTTTTTAAAGCCGCTCCACATTCCACACTTATTTATTTTCATTATTGAAAATGCCAATTTTGTGATTATTAACTTTAAAATTCTACTTCTAAAATCAAGTTTACAAATAAATGCCGCAAACTATTTTAAAGATTAAAGACGCTACTATGTTTCGTGGGACACCCTGTATCAACAAGGAGCTTCACCAATAAAGTTTTCAGAAAGTTAATTAAAGATTATTAGAAGCAATAATTTGTCTTTGTGTCAGATTTCTTTGGGCAAAATGTTCCGGTTTCAAATTTTTTAATAATTTTCTTGAATTTCTCCTAAAATACAAGCATAGGGATAATTTACTTATGAAGATATAAATAGACAGCGTTGTGTGTATGCAGTTTCTATATCCTTAAGTAACAATAATAATGATATTATAATCTATTGTGACTTTCAAGCACAATTTGACTTCTTAAACATACATTTTCCGATTCAATCTTTTATAATTTGTTGTCAGCAGATGCGTGTTAAATGACAAAGTATAAAAAGACAACTCCGAAAGTTTAGGGATAATTTACTTATGAAGATATAAATAGACAGCGTTGTGTGTATGCAGTTTCTATATCCTTAAGTAACAATAATAATGATATTATAATCTATACTTTGATGCAGTCTGTCTGTCTGTCCGTTTCAATAAACGTCAAAACGGCTGAACCGATCAGGCCCAACATTTTTGAGGCATCTCACATGATCCAAGGGAAGGTTTAGGGATACTCAGAATTAAAAAATTTGTCCCCAAAAATATTGGATATTTGTCAAAGTTTTTAAGTCCACGAAACAAAATTATTAAATCCGGGAACATTTTTTGTTATTCTTTTATATTGTACAAAGAGAAGATGCTCACAGATAAGAGCCACAATAAAATTTGAAGTAGAGGATGGGCGCGAAGCGCCTTTAAAGCCTAGAAATATTTCGGACGAAGTACAATATTATTATTATTGGTAGACAAACTATTGAGTGTGAGAATGAATATTTTCAGAATAAGATGAAAAAGTATGATTAAAGATTATGTATATTATATAATCCACAATAAGGCTCTCTTATGAACATCAAATAATATGAATTTAAGTTTAAAAATAAAGAAAAAAAATACTAAGTGAAGACTAGTTTAGAAATAAAATACCACAAACTAAACTTTCTGCGTCAATACAAAAAGTATGAAATGTGTTTATAAATTAGTTTTTTTTTCGTATCTAATAAACGTCATAACGGCAGAACCGATATTCAATCCCAGCACCACAGGAGAGGTTTATGGCCGGTGGGTAGTTTAAAAATGTTAAACAAGATTTTGATGTGTCACAAATTTTTGATATCCACCATGAAAACATCTGCAAAATTTTACATTTTTCTTTTAATAAAATATTCGAAAACAGTTTAAGAAACATTTAAGAGCTACAGAAAATGAGTTTTTGGCAAGGATCCGTAGTACAGTTTTATCTTTGCAACCCAATGTCGTAGAACTTTGATATTTAAAATTATGAATTCTGTTAAATCAAGCCTAACTTTGAAATATTAAGGCTTACACCATCAGGTTGCAAAGATTTACAAATTTGACTTTATGACCCAGGCTAAAATTAGTTAATTTATTGTGAGAAAGATCAGCGCAAAATGCCATGCAAGAGTATGTGTAGAATACTATTGAATTTTATTAAGAACTGCCTGAAGTGCTTGCAAGCCTATAGTATATGTAGAATACTATTGAATGTTATTAAAAACTACCTGAAGTGCTTGCAAGCCTATAGTATGTGTAGAATACTATTGAATATTATTAAAAACTAGCTGAAGTGCCATGCAAACCTATAAGTATATGTAGAATACTATTGAAAGTATGTGTAGAATACTATTGAATTTTATTAAAAACTGTAAAATCTTGACAAAAAGTTTTTAAAGAAAAAAGATCGGATTTTTAAAAAATCCATTATTTTAGCCTATGTTACCCCCAGGGTGCTCAAGGGTTTCCTTAATAAACTTCAATCAGATTGTTCCAGTCGTTAGGCCAGCTTACATATAAATATACATACAATTATGTATGGATAATATACAATTATATATATGTATATGAGCTTTATATCGTTTTTAAACAAATACCAATATATGAGCGACATCCCTTTCCCTCTCATACACTCTTTCAATTAAAGTTGTCTAGTTTACAACACTTTTATTTTTACGATGTAATTCCTTGACCAGTAGTTTGAGAGGAAAGGACAGGAACCCGGAAGTGTGTATACACTAATAACAATTTAGGCTAAACCCGTTCAACTTTCCTATACAACAAGATCTAGTCAATATTAGAACTAGTATTACTAGACAACTATGCGGAAGTTACAAGGTTTAAGGCTGACTGGTTTTTGATATTTTTAGATTTAATGCACCGGTTTCGGAACTAATAATTCCTCGACCCAGAGGATAATTCTTGAAGGTTTTCTGGCCCCTGAGGATAATTCTTTAAAGTTTCATGGCCTCTGAGAAACCTAACCCCCGAGGATAACTTTTTAAGGTTTCCTGCCCCCTGAAGATTATTCCTCAAGGTTTCCTGGCCCCTGGGTATACTTCTTGTAGGTTACCTGGCCCCTGAGGATAATTCTTTAAGGCTTCCTAACCCTTGAGGATAATACTTTACGGTTTCCTAGCCCCTGAGGATAATTCCTCAAGGTTTCCTGGCCCCTGCGGATACTTTTTGTAGGTTTCCTAACCCTTGAGGATAATTCTTTAAGGTTTCTTGGCCCCTGAGGATAATTCTTCAAGGTTTCCTAGCCCTTGAAGATAATTCTTCAAGATTCCTTCCTAGGATAATTATTTAAGGTTTCCAGGCACCTGAGGATAATTCTTAGGTTTCCTGGTCTCTGAGGATAATTGTTAAAGGTTTCCTGACCCCTGAGGATAATTCTTGAAGGTTTTCTGGCCCCCGAGGATAATTTTTCAAGGTTTCCTGGCCCCCAAAGATAATTCTTCAAGGTTTCCTGGCCCCTGAGGATAATTCTTCAAGGTTTCCTGTCCCCTGAGGATAATTCTCCAAGGTTTCCTGCCTTCCAGGACCCTGAGAACAATTATTTAAGGTTTCCTGGCCCATGAAGATAATTCTTTGAGGTTTCCTAGCCCTGATGATAATTATCAAAGGTTTCCTGGCCCCTGATGATAATTATCAAAGGTTTCCTGGCCCCTGATGATAATTATCAAAGGTTTCCTGGGCCCTTTGGAGAATTCTTTAAGATTTTTTTCCTTGGATATTCTTTAAGGCTATAAACTTTTCAGCCTTTTAGTTTTGATGTTTTCATGGTTGATTTAAAGCAAAATATACAATTGATATATTATACAGTTCATCTAACATATTTAATACATACGATGCAAAATAACGCTTACATTTATTTTTATATATTTTAGAAATGTTGATATTTATTGACACAAAACCTCACTTTCGTTAAAAACATACAAATTGAAGTTGAAATATCATATTCAATGTGTTAAAATTAATCTAACACAAAAGAAATCAAAATTTTTTTATAACATTTATTAACATTAAATATTTGTACTAATGATATAACAATACATATACAATACATAGATACATGTTTTCTTTTACATGAAACAAAACCCCACCCCCCGCCCCTTGGGTATTGCGAATTTCAATATTCCTGGTATTTCCTGGCCTTGTTGTACAATTTGAAGAATGAATGGTGCAGTGTGTATGCATGGATTTTCTACAGTACTCCGATCATATCAGATTTAATAACTTGGTTTCTAGGTCTCTAGGTTCTAGATTACCAGATACTTACCAGACCTCACATTTGTCCACAGGGTTCATATTTGAACCAAGGGGACAATTAAAATCCTCAGCAAACTCCCTGCTGTTACTAAAGGGACCCTTTACTCTAAACATTCCAGGGGAGTGTGCTCCAGTCTTGATTCTCTTCTCTAGAGCTTTATCTCTGTACTTGGAGCACCAGGTGTTAGCAGCAGATATCCAGAACATCTAGAGTAGAATATATTCATCCTATCCATCCTATTCATCTAATTTATCCTATCCATCCTATTCATCTAATTTATCCTATCCATCCTATTCATCTTATTTATCCTATTTATCCTATTCATCTAATTTATCCTATCCATCCTATCCATCTAATTTATCCTATTTATCTAATTTATCCTATCCATCCTATCCAACCCCTATATTTACCTGTTTCCCTGTGTATCCATGTAATCCCGGAAGCTTGTGTTCCTCTCCATGTCTATGAACCCAGGACTGGTATGCTCTGTATGCCTCCTTGATTCCACCATTATCAGCTATATTCTCACCCTGGGATAAGACAATTAGTCCAGGATGAATTTGTCTCTTCTCCAAAATAAAGAAATGTGAACCCACTAATAATCTGAATGTTTAAGAACGGAATATAGAAGACATTAGGGAATAAAATATCTTGTTGAAAGCCTTGTGACCTCTTGTAATCACAAAGGTCTAAAAATGAACGAAAGCGAGAGAATAGAATGTTAAACATTGTGTCAATTTCCTCGTTGTACTCCGTGTACCTGAGTATTTACTCCATTCAGGGTTTTATTCACTGAATCTGCAGTATAGTTTCCGTACTGCCAGACAATACAGTTGGCTTTCTCAAGAAACCGGTCTTTCGTTGAATCCTCCCACCAGTTCTTAAGATTACCTGGAGAAAAACTGGTTTAAGACGGTTATAACTAGTTAAAACATAGACATTTCAAGTTGAATGGAAAAAAATTAATAAAGAAAACTTTACATCATGCAGTTCGGTTAAAATATTATTGTACAATATGTTTAAATCTTTTATGAAAACTTTTCCAATAATAAATGTAAAAATAGCGAATATAATATATTACCTTCATCGTCGTACTGCCGACCCTGATCATCAAACCCGTGAGTTATCTCGTGTCCAATGACCCAACCTATAGCTCCGTAGTTCATATATGCAGGCCGGTCCGCGTTAAAGAAGTTGCCCTGTAGGATGCCAGCAGGGAACTGGATACTGTTTTCTATAGAGGAGTAGAATGCGTTCACAACTGCAGGTGCTCCGTGCCTCTTCCAATCCGTTTTATCAACCTTCTCCCTGAAAAAAAGTATTTTTGTGCGCTTTTTATGAATTGGTTCAGTGGCCATCCGAGAATTCATGAACATGAACATAAACATAAACATGAACATGAACATGAACATGAACATGAACATGAACATGAACATGAACATGAACATGAACATGAACATGAACATGAACATGAACATGAACATGAACATATACATGAACATGAACATGAACATGAACATGAACATGAAACTGAACATGAACAAGAACACATGAACATGAACATGAACATGAACATGAACATGAACATGAACATGAACATGAACATGAACATGAACATGAACATGAACATGAACATGATTATGAACTATAAACAGACCTTAAGCAGAACCTTAAACTAAACATCAAAATTCAATTGTACCTAAGTTTGCCCCATGAATAGTTGGTTCCCCAGATAGACATTTTTATCCCGTTCATGAAATAGGTTTCAGGATTAATCTCCAGGTTTTCATATAGTTCCTCCAGCCTCCAGTTCTCCAATATCTCCTCCGGGTATCCGATATACTCCTTCATACTCTTCAGCTTTGCCTGATCAAATAGTTTAGGATTGAGAAAACCATCTTAATTTAATGTGGTTAAATTAAAATGTTATGCTCATAGTATTTGTATAGGAAAAAGAATTTATTCAGAAAAATAATCTTTGATTTTAAACACAACATAAAATAGATTTACTGCTTAACAAAATTTATACATTTTTAGCTTTGCAAATAATGTTATCTGTAAAAGATACCAACTGTAAAGACATTTAAAAAAATGTTTTTATTTTTTTTTCAGACCAAGAAAACTTAAAACAGAGCAAAAAAGTATTTTTAATTTGTTTTTAGTTGAAAAGGGAAACTTCATTCCTCTTTGTGACCTTAGCTCTCTCTCTTGTTTTTTCATCCATCCAGTCGATATTGTCAAGGATATTATCAAACTCCGTCCTGATATCCCGAACCATCTCCTCCATAGACTGTTTAGCTTCCTCCTTGAAGTGCTTCCTCACGTACATACTTCCAACAGGGGAGGAGAAGGAACCAGTTGCAGCACCTGATACAATACAATCTATATATATACTTTGCTTGTCTGTCTGTCTGTTTGTTTGGCTGAACCGATCGGCCTAAATTTTGTGTGGAACTCCACATAACCCCAAATTCGAAAAAAAATCCGCCAAAATTTGAAAATGATTTACAATACAATACAATACAATACAATACAATACAATACAATACAATACAATACAATACTGTTTGTTTGTTTGTATCTAATAAACGTCAAAACGGCTGAACCGATCGGGCCCAAATTTTTTGTGGGACATCACGTGACCACAGGGAAGGTTTACGAATGATAAAAATTTTAACAAAATGTGTTTTAAAGGTTTTTATTTTTATAAAAAAATTAAATTCTCGAAAATCCGCGAATTTTTTTTTTATAAATCCGCAACATTTTTTTCTTCTTTGTTTTAAAATGTAAACAAAAAGAACATTTTCACAATTTAAACAGAAGATGGGCGCGAAGTGCCCTAAAAGCCTAAAAAGAAGGGCGTGAAGCGCCTCGAATTTCTAGTACAATAAAATACAATACAATGCAATAAAATACAATACAATACAATACAAAAAAATACAATACAATACAATAAAATACAATACAATACAATACAATACAATACAATACAATACAATACAATACAATACAATACAATACGATTCAATACAATTCAATACAATACAATACATTTTTTTTGTCTTTTCTGTTTGAATAAAAAAAGACTTTTCCGTACATAAAAAAATACCTCACATAATTTACTTTTTGGTGAATTGGACATTTTTGTTAGTCTGCGGATAGTTTTGGGATTGGACTCAAACAAACCAACAAACGGACAACCCAAAAAATATTTGGTTTTGGCCTGGATGTAAATAATCTATGTTTTGGCCTGGATGTAAATAATCTATGTTTTGGCCTGGATGTAACTAATCTATGTTTTTGCCTGGATGTAACTAATCTAGGTTGTAACTAATCTATGTTTTGGCCTGGATGTAACTAATCTACGTTTTGGCCTGGATGTAACTAATCTAGGTTGTAACTAATCTATGTTTTGGCCTGGATGTAACTAATCTACGTTTTGGCCTGGATGTAACTAATCTACGTTTTGGCCTGGATGTAACTAAGCTATGTTTTGGCCTGGATGTAACTAATCTATGTTTTGGCCTGGATGTAACTAATCTATTTTTTGGCCTGGATGTAACTAATCTATGTTTTGGCCTGGGTGTAACTAATCTATGTTTTGGTCTGGATGTATGTAACTAATCTATGTAAATACAACTTTTATACTTTACTTAATGTTCAGTTTAAGTTTAAACTGAAGAATTATTGTGAGAAAACTTGAGACAAGCGATTAATTAAAAACAATTACGTCATTATTACATTTCATCCATCTTTTCCAATTGAGAAGAATTTGTTCGTGCAATAAATACTGCTTTTGAACCACACACGCGGATTAGTTGATTTCTAAAAATTTAAACTTAACAAAATATGAAATTAATCTCTTTCAAGGTTATCAAATTAATACACTGCATGGTTATTGGTTAGTCCATAAAAAACACATAAAAATCGAGTTATTAAAGGGACTGTAAGCGTACTGTAAAGTGATCCTATACTTTTAAACCTAGAAAAACGACACTACATTCCACATTATTGATCAGATAAAGGTTTCAAGAGTACCGTTGTAAATCTGGCATTGTCAGCTGTGTATAGAGGTTCACTTGAAATTACCCCTACAGTTAATCCTTAAATATCGTCTTTGATTTTTGATCCACTTTTTAACTTTTTGAGACGCTGTTTGAAGCTATAGACAAGAGCACAATAGATCATAACATAAAGTCTACACTAGACTCCCACATTTATATGTAGATGGGCTCCTGCAGTTGTAATCATGAATTATCTATGTATCCCACTATTTCCTATTCTGTAAAAATATTGTGAAACTTAATACGTCTCCGGAGTCCTTGGTTTCCAGGTTCAGTTAAATCCAAGGAATATTTTTACTCTAGTAATTCTATCAAATGTATAAACTACTTTGCATAAGATAAAATCGCACCCTGATCTCCTATAGTTCTTCTTCAATCTTTTTGTTTGAAATATTATTTAAATTAGGTGCAAAAAAATAATCATAAAAGCCAAGAGCTATTTTCCACCTAATTTCTTTATACTTGTACTGTTAAAATAATCATCAATTTGTAATTGTAAACTCGTTCTGTACACAGATACATATATTTTAGCAATAAACGTTACGCTAATCCTTTACTAATTGTATAGGCTATCAACTATACCGAGAGCGTACGCATATTTGTTATTATAAGGAGATTCTGGCCTAACCAATATAGAGAACAGTTGTAAGTGTACAGTACAGCTAACTGAGCACACAGGTAGAGAACTATCATTCCCCAAGTAGACCCACTCAACATAGAATCTCAAAACCAGCCAAAGAACATTCCCGTGGTTCTTCCGAATTCCACCATACAAATTTGTTGTATATACCCAGGGGGGCTCCTATGTTTTTTTTTCAGGGGAGGGAGGCTCACCATCTGTTGGGGCCTTAAACCTTCCTGATCAAGGGGGCTGAACCCCCACAGCACCCCATATTAACCCACTAAAAACTCTGGATCTTTTCAAGTACAGGGCCGACATTAAAGTAGTTAAAGCAAGCTGTACAGTACACAAACAGGCAAAACGGAACGGTACACCAAATGAGTCATCCCATTCTAGTGAAATGAAAGTGATATAGGACCTGTGCATGCCTTCCATCTCTCCGTCTTGCTCTTAGTGCCAGTAATATTCTTAGAGAACTCAAGTTGTATTCTCTGCGCAGACTCAGTAAAATATCCCAGGGATGCCCGCGCAGTTCGCCACATCATATAGTTCGCTATACTTCTGCAATATTTAAAATTAAAAAACATTTAAAAGAGAAAATAAACGATTTAAAGAGACCCCTAAAACCATTATTGAAATGCGAATCAATTGGCATTTTCTTTGTTCAAAGTTTTAATCTGGATTTTGTGCAGCTCCCAAAACTACAATGGGAAAGCTGTTACTCACTGGCGCAGAAATTATGCATATCTAAATTTAAACTATACAAATATATCAAAAGTTGTTTTTACAAAAATTTATTCATCGTATATATTACTTTGATTTTTCCCGCCATAAAAAAATGGGTCGAAAAAATTCCCTTATTGATCTAAAAATAAGGTATAATGGAAAGGATCCAGATCCAGACTGTTATGAAAAGTTTCATCAGTTATTAAGACTGGGTCGACTTTAAAGTGTCACAACACCTTTGACTTTGATTTTAGTCGACTAACTCACTGAAACTATTTTGTGAACCTAATTAATTACATTTTAGAACTGCAAAGCACTTTTTAGTTTCAGTTTTTTCTAAGTAATTGACAAAATTACCATCAAATTTTTTCGTGAGAGCTTGCATCCTTTGCACCACTGAGTAAGGTGTACCTGTTGCTAAACTTTGCACCACTGTGGAAGGTGTACCTGTTGCTAAACTTTGGACCACTGTGGAAGGTGTACCTGTTGCTAAACTTTGGACCACTGTGGAAGGTGTACCTGTTGCTAAACTTTGGTAGAAGAATAGTTAGATTCTTCAAATATCCAGGTTCATCTACAATCACACGCTCATTCTCATCAACCTGAAAAAACGAGTCTAATTGCGCACATTTTGTAATCCCTATATCTTTGTAATCTAATGGTGTAAACCTTTGATATTTCAAACTTAGACTGTTTACTCTAACAGAATTAATATTTTGAAATATCTAAGGCCTATATCATTTGGTTGCAAAGATATAAGGATTAGAATATATGAGTTTTTGACAAGGACTCAATTTCTTAATAAATTTTGACATTTTAGTTTTTTCTTTAAATCACAGTTTATCTAACTATGCTTCTGGGGGCGCTTTTATTCTCTGTTTTCCTAACTTTAAAAAATCTACGAAAATGCATTGCAAAGAAAAATACAGTTATGAACCTGACAGACTATGAAGTACATGATTCTTCCATTCGGTTCAGCCGTGTTTATGTTTTAGAACCAAGTTGTTGATAATAATATGTTCCCACCAATCAATCCTTTATTTAATCCCCTGAGGTTATTTGAATACATTAAAAATGTAGAATAGATGTATAAATCCTTTAATCCTTTATACATAATGGACGGATTTAGTCAGCTCAGTTACACATAGAGCTTTTACTAGATTTATTCAATATATCTATATTTATTCCTTTACAATGTATAATATATATTATCATAAAGTTTTTGCATTATATAATTGGACCGTGTTTTTTAAAAGACGAAAGTTTAAAGTTTAGTTTATGAATAACACATTTTAAGTTGAAAAGGCAATCAGAGGACAGAGGGCAAAACTTGTGTATCTTAAAGCGTTATTTCAAATGACCCTTCATGCAAAGATGGATATGTCCGATTTACAACGGTACCCTCGAAGATATTTACGTTTTTCACTTTTGTAGAGAAACCACAATTGAAAATGATAAAGGAATTGAGTCTTTGTAACGAAATCAAATATATAAACCCCAATATCTTTAGAACCCGATGTTGTGAACCTTTGATATTTCAAACTCTGATTATTTGATTCAACAGAATTCATAGTTTGAAATATCTAAGGTCAGTAACATTTGGTTCCAAAGATATAGTGATTAGAAAATCAGAGTTTGTGGCGAAGACTCAATTCCTTTTCAAGATTAACAACATTGATATCTAATTCATGCTTTATCAGACAAATTTTTTACGGGTACCATTGTGAATCAGGCATTTTCCTCTTTGTATGAAAGGTCACTTGAAATTACGGCTTTATCTCCCCCTCAACGGTTCAGCCTGAGAAGTTGGATACACCTTAGTGTTATACCAGGGTATATCTCCGATTTAAGGCGTTTAACCTTCAACCATAGATAAATAAATAAACATAGATAGCTTATGTACGCAAAATCACCAAGAATTGTACAGTCCGCGAACTCATACTTCTAGGGGTCAAAGTGTACTTCAATGATAAGCGGGGTGGTTTGGTGTTTTAATGGATTTCATAATTATTAAACCACTCAGGAGGGAATTTTATATTGAGAATATTAAATTATTTCACTGAGCAATATATCATATTGACGAGAACTGAATAAGGACATGAGAAGGACTGAACTAACTTAGATTTCTTTTTACAGAACTCATGTACACCACAAGTACTCAATGACATAAGAACAGCCAATGTTCACAACTGACCTAGTTAATCTATATAATAGGAATATTTTTAAAACATCTCTGTACATTTATATCTTTCAAGATGAAAAATGTCGTCTTATGCGCAATCTATCTTTATCTATGCCTTCAACTCAAAAGTTTATACATTGCATATCGAGATCAGTCACCGCGAAGAGCTAAGCGCTATTCCGTACAAAGTTTCGCCGTTAGTTAAAATTTTAATTTCAAGATTTATAAATGGTCTGCACTACTACCTGCGCAATATCTTCAGTAAGAATATTATTTATATATTCCAGCCAGGGAACCATGGGAGCATAATTATGAAGATCCTTCACTAATACAGGGTTGTACAACCGGCTTGCATTCCTTCTCTCCTCTCTGGCCTGGGACGCATGCGCAAGTTCGATCTCGAAGAGAAGTGATTCCTTTAATTCCTTTTCCGCCCTTTCACGTGGAGCTCCCAAAAGAACAGCGGTATTGACCTGAATATTATTCAGTGTCATATTGCATACATCAGAACTTTAGAATATATGTAACGTATGTGTGTGACTGCGACTTTTAAAACGCTTATTAACTTTTCAGACAACGAAGGTCGTCTTGCGCCTAGGGCCCAAAGAAGACAAATTATAGTATAGAGACAAATTGTAAACTAAGATACATAATCTTGAGCTGAGATACACAATCTTGAGCTAAGATACATAATCTTGAGCTAAGATACACAATCTTGAGCTAAGATACATAATCCTGAGCTAGGATACATAATCTTGAGCTAGGATACATAATCTTGAGCTAAGATACATAATATTGAGCTAAGACACATAATCTTGAGCTAAGATACATAATCTTGAGCTAAGATACACAATCTTGAGCTAAGATACATACTCTTGAGCTAAGATACATATTCTTGAGCTAAGATACATGTTCTTGAGCTAAGATACATAATCTTGAACTAATATACACAACCTTGAACTAAGATATACAACCTTAAGCCAAAATACACAATCTCGAGCTAAGATCAACCTTGAGCTAAGATACATAACCTTGAACTAAGAGAAACAACCTACAGCTAAGATACACAACCTTGAGCTATGATACACAACCTTGAGGTAAATACACAACCTAGAGCTAAGATACACAATCTTGAGCTAAGATAAACAACCTAGAGCTAAGATACACAATCTTGAGCTAAGATACACAACCTTGAGCTAAGATAAACAACCTAGAGCTAAGATACACAACTTTGAGCTAAGATACACAACCTTGAGCTAAGATACACAACCTTGAGCTAAGATACATAACCTTGAACTAAGAAACACAACCTTGAGCTAAGATACACAAACGTAAGCTAAATTAAACAACTTGAGAGCTGAAATACTCAACTTTGAGCTAAAAAATACAACTTTGAGCTAAGATACATAACCTTGAGCTAAAATACACAACCTTAAGGTAAAATACAAAACGTTGGGCTAAAATACACAAACTTGAGCTAACATAATCCAACTAGAGCTGGGTTCACAAACCTTAGCTGAGATACACAACCTTGAGAACAAATACTCAATATTAAGCTAAAAGGCTCAATTATCCTTGAGCTCAGATACATAATCTTGAGCTAAAATGCACACTGTAAATATATCAAAGCTGGATGTAACTAGGTAATTAAGTATGTTTGTATGAAACTCCCAACCCTGATTTGAAGATATAAATATATATGAGTATAGAAACTTTGATTTGACTGTTTTAATTTCACTAAAAGAAACTAACCATATAATTGAAGTAACTGATTACATCAGGATCCTCTAGTCCATTAATCAGATATTCTCTGGACACACCTAGAGATGCCTAAACCAAACCTCATTCAAACAAATCCGGGATTTCTAACAAGGTTTTAACAACTTTTCAAATATTTACTCTCATATCAGGAGCAGGGAAAGTTTTCGAATTTAGAGACGGACCAAAGATGGGGCAAAATCCAAGACTTTAATTTAATTACATTGAGAACCAGGGGTTTAATGTAGGGATGACTAGGTTTTCATTAACGAAAGTCGGATAAATAAAAATAGATATCGGGAGTACTAATAAATAAATAAAACTATATATCGGGAGTACGAGATAAATAGAAATAGATTTCGGGAGTACTATTAGATAAATAAAAATAGATATCGGGAATATTAGCAGATAAATAAAAATAGATTTCGGGAGTACTAATAGAAAAATAAAAATAGATATCGGGAGTACTAATCAATAAATAAAATTAGATTTAGGGAGTACTAATAGAAAAATAAAAATAGATTTCGGGAGTACTAATACATAAATAAAAATAGATTTCGTGAGTACAAATAGATAAATAAAAATAGATTTCGGGAGTACTAATACATAAATAAAAATAGATTTCGGGAGTACTAACACATAAATAAAAATAGATTGCGGGAGTACTGGTAGATAAATAAAAATAGATTTCGGGAGTACTAATGGATAAATAAAAATAGATTTCGGGAGTAGTAATAGATAGATAAAAATAAATTTCTGGAGTACTAATAGATAAATAAAAAAAAATATCGGGAGTATTAGTAGATAAATAAGAATAGATATCGGTAGTACTAGTAGATAAATAAAAATAGATTTCGGGAGTACTAATAAATTAATAAAAATAGATTTCGGGAGTACTAATAGATAAATAAAAATAGATTTCGGGAGTACTAATAAATTAATAAAAATAGATTTCGGGAGTACTAATAAATAATTAAAAATAGATATCGGGAGTACTAAAAGATAAATAAAAATAGATATCGGGAGTAATAATAAATAAATAAAAATAAATATCGGGAGTACTAATAGATTAATAAAAATGGATATCGGGAGTACTAATAAATAAATAAAACTAGATATCGGGAGTAGTAATAGATAAATAAAAATAGATATCGGTAGTACTAGTAGATAAATAAAAATAGATATCGGGTATACTAAGTATAAATAAATTTCGGGAGTATTAGTAGATAAATAAAAATAGATATCAGGAGTATTAGTAGATAAATAAAAATAGATATCGGGAGTACTAATAGATAAATAAAAATAGATATCGGGAGTACTAATACATAAATAAAAATAGATATCGGGAGTACTAATAAATAAATAAAAATAGATATCGGGTATACTATTAGAGAAATAAAAATAGATTTTCAAGAGTTTAAATCGGATGAATAAAAAAGATAATATAAAAATGATGATGAATGAATAAAATCTGTTCCTGATCTATATCTATTAGTCTCCAACTTGAGTTCTTTGAGTCCGTCACCACGGAGAAATCAATGAGATAGTCTGTTGAGTAACCGTTCCTACGGAACTTGTAGGTGGAGTCAATCCAGGAAAAACTAGTCTCGTCCCAGTTCTCCTCTAGGACGGGCCAACCTCCCAGGTTCTTCAACATATCCTGGAGAGGTTGAAGTCCAATTCTCTCAATCCGTTCTTCATCCATACACGCTTTATATGCATTCCTGAAATATAGAAAATGAATGAGCACAACACTCAGATATTTTATCATTAATTAGAAATTAATTAAACCCTTCTCCAGGTCCTCGGAGTGACAGCTAACGTCCTTGAAGTGGAGTATCTCAATATTAGGTCTAGCAGACTCATAATTAGTATTTATCCCAGAACACAATAAAATTTAAAGGACTTGAGTCTTTGCCACAAATTCAAATGGTGAATGCTAATATCTTTGCAACCTGATGGTGTAAACCTTTTATATTTCAAACTTAGATTATTTTATCCAGCACAATTCATAGTTTAAAATATTATAAGGTCTATGACATTGGGTTGCAAAGATACAGGGATTAGAAAATTAGAGTTTGTGACAAAGGCTAAATTCCTTTAAAAATAAAATTTCAAGGGTAATTTTTATGAAAATTAAATAAGGTGCAGATTGAAATTTTATTGTTGAATTCTGTAATGAATGACCAGTGACGGAGGATAACTAATTAATCGCAACTATTCCTAGAAATACGGGACAAAGATGCGCGTGCCTGGTTTTAATTTAAATCATTTTTTATTATGCAAGTCGTCTTGCAGAATAAATAAATAAGTAATTTTTGTTAATTCAAATCTTAAAATTCAAACAGAGGTTTGAATTTTTTTGTGGAATATCGTTAATTTAGAACGAGTAATCTCGATATCTAATTTGGGCACTTTTAAATTGAGGATACACGCTATATCCCTTCATCTTAGTTATCCCTGCAGGGATATCGAAGAAGAGGTTGAAACGTTAGGGTTACATGCTTAATCCTGAGATTCACAACACAAAAGTTAGTTTTCCTTATTTTTAAATAACTAGCTCCAGCTTCACCTTGCCATAGTGAATACTCTGCTCTCCCCCTCCTCTGGTTCTGCCTCTAGTATCTCTCGGAGCTGCTGGATCAGATCATCTCCAATTATAGAGAACTGAGAACTAAACAGAAAACAATAAATAATTGAAATAGATAATTTGTAAAAATTTGACGCGTTCAATATTGAAACGTTGTAAGCACTAAATATTGAACTGTTGTAAGCACTAAATATTGAAACGTTGTAAGCCATAAATATTGAAACGTTGTAAGCACTAAATATTGAAACGTTGTAAGCACTAAATACTGAGACGTTATAAGCGCTAAATATTGAAACGTTTTAAGCACTAAATACTGAAACGTTATAAGCACTAATATTGAAATGTTGTAAGCACTAAATATTAAAACGTTGTAAGCACTAAATATTGAAACGTTGACTAAAAGGGACGGGGGTCCTAATCGGAAAATGTCCATGAGATTTTGCAAAATTACAAAACCCCCGATTTTGTTCTCATCAAATCCTTCCCCACTCTAAATAACTACCCGACGCATTATAATAAAGCATGTTTACGAAATCTTCATGATTAAATAAACCTGCATGTAATTAACTAATTAATACATTTCAATTCAATTTAACCAATTTACAACTAAATATTTTCAATTATTTGTATAAACAAATTAATAACTATTTATTATTTACAATTATTCATTATGTAGAATTACATTATAGGTTTATAATACTCGCAGTTTTGTATGAGCTTTCAAACTATTTTATTGAACAATTCTGACTATCCTAAGCTATTCTAAACTATCCTAAACTATCCTAAACTATCCTAAGCTATCCTAAACTATCCTTAACTATCCTAAACTATCCTAAGCTATCCTAAACTATCCTTAACTGCCCTAAACTATCCTAAGCTATCCTAAACTATCCTGAACTATCCTAAACTATCTTGAGCTATTCTTAACTATCCTTAACTGCCTTAAACTATCCTAATCTATCCTAAACTAATTATCCTTAACTGTCTTATACTATATTAAACTATCCTAAACTATCCTAATCTATCCTAAACTATCCTAAACTATCTATAACTATCCCAATCTATTCTAAACTATCCTAAACTATCCTAATATTTTGAATCGAATCTAGTATCCTGGACTCAAGAAATACTCCTATTTATGTTTATTAATCTAAAAATCAATCTTCTGATTTCTATTTATTTTCTTGTGGAAAAGATTTCAAATCAGTTTATTTATTTAACTAAGTTGTGAGCAGTAGTAATCATGAGAGTATCTTTGTATACAAGAAACCTCCATTGTAGTTTCTACATTAGAGAAACTGAATCAAAGGAGAGATGATAAGTGGGATCATTAATTATTGTTGCAAGAACCTCTTTCTTAATCCTGCATTCTCCATTCTTAATCATTGATTTAGGAGTATTTCTCACCTTAATCCTCTGCTATAGGAATATTTTTTCCTAACAATTTAGAATTACTTTTTTCATACATTTCTTTAGGATTACTTCTTCCATACATTTCTTTAGGATTACTTCTTCCATACATTTCTTTAGGATTACTTCTTCCATTCATTTCTTTAGGATTACTTGTTTCATACATTTCTTTAGGATTACTTGTTTCATACATTTCTTTAGGATTACTTCTTTTTTAACATCAATCCCATAAAATCAGATTGATCAATAAGTTTATTTTCTTTTTTATACTTTGTAGTCTTAATCTTTTAACATTGATAATAATAAAATTCAATCGTTAATTAAATAAGACTTTTAAAAAAAAGTTATCTATGATTACTTTCAAAGAATTAAATCCTACCCTTCTTAGTGCAGTGCAGTTAACGGAATCCTTAATTAATGATCCTATAGAAAAATATGCATTTTCAGTGTTTAATTAGACAAACCATATACTTCTAGAATGACAAAATGAAATTCCAAAGTGAGCAGAGTAAATATTTGCAAGGTTGGGCTTAACCCTTATCCTTGTGTCTAGAGAACTTACATTTGTAAACATTGTAGTTCTTTGGTATTCATAGAGAAATATATCTTTAGTTCATGGTACACCTATAGTAATATATCCTAGTCCCAGGTATACCTATAGTAATATATTCTAGTCCCAGGTATACCTAGAGTAATATATTCCTAGTCCCTGGTATACCTAGAGTAATATATCCTAGTCCCTGGTATACCTAGAGTAATATATCCTAGTCCCTGGTATACCTAGAGTAATATATCCTAGTCCCAGGTATACTTAGAGTAATATATCCTAGTCCCTGGTATACCTAGAGTAATATATTCTAGTCCCTGGTATACCTAGAGTATTATATCCTAGTCCCTGGTATACCTGTATTAATATATCCTAGTCCCAGGTATACCTAAAGTAATATATCCTAGTCCCTGTAGCTATATATCCTAGTCCCTGGTATACCTATAGTAATATATCTTGGTATATAGGTTACCTAGATGATCTATCGTCTTGAATTACGACTCTATGTTCAAATCCTCCACATGTAAACTTGTAGAAGTCGTCACACGGATCTACTGTTTTATCCATGTTATTCAGGATCATGTGAGACGTACCTGATAACAAACCCATCTCATTATTTCAGAATTTTAATTTTAATTCTATTTGTTCTATTTCTGATGTTTATAAAATTTTCAATAGTTTGAGATTGGTTTCCTATGCATCCTTCCGAAAGACAAAGATCTCGCTGCTTGTCTTCCTGGTTTAGTTTCCCTTGATCAGGTTCAAGATTACTCACGGTACTTCTATGAGTACAAACCACTATTAGTGCAATAATTAGTCCGATGCACAGTGCAAAACTGAGTAGAAGGGTCGCCACGAGAGCCTTGATCGACGAGGTTCGGGATTTTTTAAACGTCGTCATCTCGCTGGGTTCAGGGAGACAACTATCCACCGAGATCAGATCCTTTCTTGAACCCTTCTCAGGTACTGACATTTTCAGTGGAAAGTATTACATAGTCTTAGAACCGGAAGTGGAACTAAATACTGAAGATATCTAGGAGTTCTGTATCCGGTTTCGTCAGTTTATTCTGAAACTATAAGAACACATTCTGTGTGAGAGGTTTCAAATCAGTAAAAACAATTCGTAAAACAATAAAAACAAGACAAATGAATATTAGATAAATCTGATCGTACATGATAAACTTCAAGTTCTGATAGTTTGCGTATACTGAGATAATATGCGTCGTGTACCCCACACATCTCACTAAAATATAAACATTTCAAGAATTCAAGGGAAAAAATTAACACAGATTAATCGAGACGTAATATAAAGAGATAATCAGAAAAATATCCAAGAAGTTTTCTCCTTAAACCCAGTTATTGGAAAATCCGCAAAGGACTGGTTTTTTAGAAATACTTTAAATATATGCAGTTACAATTTCTGTACGTTTAACGGCAACAGATGCAAAATTATTGATGATTTATTTTTTCTTTAAATACATATTTGAACTTTAAGCTATAGCAATTCAAAAGAAAGGACGGGAGGGGGGGGGTCAAAGCATTTTTAATCAATCGAATTATTCATTCTATTATTTAAATGCATGTTTAATGGTGTTGAATACAAAACATTTTAACATAAACTTGATGGATTTTAAACAATTCAAATCTATGGTATAAAGTATAGAGTATACAACAATAGAAAATATACAATAGTACAATGATTATGCATTTTCCGGGACAAGCTGAATTCATTGCAGACAACTCGGATTTATTTTTACACATCTAGGAATTATTGTAAACAACTCGGAAATATTATACCAATTAGGAATTATTGTAAACAACTCGGAAATATTATACCAATTAGGAATTATTGTATACAACTCGGAAATATTATACCAACTAGGAATTATTGTACACAACTAGGAATTATTGTACCAACTAGGAATTATTGTACACAACTAGGATTTAATATACACAACTGAAAATTATTGTACACAACTCGGAAATATTGTAAACATTTGGAATTATTGTACACAACTCGGAGTTATTGTAAACATTCGGAATTATTGTATATACACAGCTTGGAATTATTTTAAACAATAATGTGGAAGATATTATCGTTTTTCTAGGTGTAAAACACAGTTGAAACTAAGTAGTTTTCAAAACTATAAACATTGATATCTAATTCATCTTCTTGATTAGACATAGCTTTAAGGGTACCGTTGGAGAATCAGGCATTGTTATCTTTATTTAAGGGGTCACATGAAATCACACCTTATACAATCCCTTTAAGGAACATATAACCAGTGTCCGGTCCTTTGTGCTACCCCGGATGTGTGAAATTATTTAAATTCAAAACCTTGGAAATTTAATCCGTAAGTATTTAGCCAAAAGTTCATGAACAATCATGGATATTTATAAATCAGTCCAGGGCCCAGCAAGTGTAAACTAATGGTCGGTCTAGGGTCCAATTGAAAGGTAAAAGGAGGTACGTGTGAACGGTTTGACCTCCGGAATTGAACTGGTCAGAATTGAACCCATGGAGCGCTCGTCAACAAACAAGATAGTTCAAACAATCCGCGCTAAACACAATTCCGGAGAGTTAATTAAAATCAAGGAATCAAGCTCAGGACATAGAAAATCAAATCTAAGAAAAACAAAAACTGATTAATAACGGAGAAAACCGTGAATTTAGCGGATCAATGGAGGGTTGAGTACGGGGTTTGGATTGCGTGAATCGAATTCAAGGTTGAATGATTAAAGTGAAAGAATAGGCCGAGAGGTATGGGTCATATACATAACTCCAGGTGCAAAGCTCAACACTGCATCATAGGTTTCAAGGAATCAGATCTTTTAGTGAAAGTTTACTCTTCATTTTTAAGCAGAGTTAAACATTATATCCTTTTTTAATCTAGTAGATCTTACTTTAGGCTCAACATCAGTTGGTTCCAGGGAATCCCTTTTAGATTTACTTCCAGTGGAACCAGGAACCGGAAATAAAGATAAACCATGAACGACATAGGGCTTATGACTTTAAACCTCAAATTTGCCACATTTTGAAACTTCATGCATGTTTGGATACATCTCAAACCTTTTGAAACTCCATGCATGGTAGGATACATCTCAAACCTTTCTAAGTAATCTTCTACATACTTCCAAGTATACTATCTCAAACCTTCTATGTACTCCATGTTCGCTAGGATNCCATGTACTTTATGGTATATTAGGATCCAACTTAAACTTTCCATGTACTTTATGGTATATTAGGATCCAACTTAAACTTTCCATGTACTTTATGGTATATTAGGATCCAACTTAAACTTTCCATGTACTTTATGGTATATTAGGATCCAACTTAAACTTTCCATGTACTTTATGGTATATTAGGATCCAACTTAAACTTTCCATGTACTTTATGGTATATTAGGATCCAACTTAAACTTTCCATGTACTTTATGGTATATTAGGATCCAACTTAAACTTTCCATGTACTTTATGGTATATTAGGATCCAACTTAAACTTTCCATGTACTTTATGGTATATTAGGATCCAACTTAAACTTTCCATGTACTTTATGGTATATTAGGATCCAACTTAAACTTTCCATGTACTTTATGGTATATTAGGATCCAACTTAAACTTTCCATGTACTTTATGGTATATTAGGATCCAACTTAAACTTTCCATGTACTTTATGGTATATTAGGATCCAACTTAAACTTTCCATGTACTTTATGGTATATTAGGATCCAACTTAAACTTTCCATGTACTTTATGGTATATTAGGATCCAACTTAAACTTTCCATGTACTTTATGGTATATTAGGATCCAACTTAAACTTTCCATGTACTTTATGGTATATTAGGATCCAACTTAAACTTTCCATGTACTTTATGGTATATTAGGATCCAACTTAAACCTTCCATGTACTTTATGGTGTGCTTGGATCCACCCTAAAACTTCCATGTACTTTATGACATATTAGGATCCACCCTAAAACTTCCATGTACTTTATGGTATACAAGGATCCCTCTCAAACCTTCCATGAACTCCAGGGTCTGCTAGGATCCAACTTAACCTTCCATGTACTTTATGGTATCCTTGGCTCCGTCTTTAACCTTTCATGTACTTTACGGTATACTAGGTTTCAACTTAAACCTTCCATGTACCCTAGGGTACATAGCCTTGAGCCCATCTCAAAGTAAAAAAGTACACCCTTAAAACCAAATTCTATCTCTGACTCCTCAGAAAAGTCTGCATTGTAAAAAATATTTTATTGAAGAATTTGTGACATATTGATTCCGGATTATTCTTGAAAATAATTTCTATCAGAGGAGAAATCAATTCTAATTCTTGAAAATATTATTAGAAGTTAGAGAACTAATTCATTTTATCACAATTTCTTCTATTTTCAAACATCCAACTATAAAAGGTTAAACTAATAATTTAATTATCTAAAAGATAAATATATATAAAGAGGTTAAATTAGTATAGAATGACGTCGTTGTAAAATATTTTTTAATAGTCCATGTTAATCTATATTTCTGTTGTGGATTTTGACTGACATGTTGGAGATATCCTAATTTTTCTATCTAAAATTTACAATCAATTCGAAACATTTTCTTCATGTTTACAGAATAATGACTGAAATATCAACAAAAAGTAAAAATTTTTGATTAAAATCAATTTAGGAGAAGGTCAAAAGAAATAATCTAAATTTTCAAAAGGGCAAAACTTCTATGTGAGATATTTTCCTTAATGTGCAACAACAACTTTCCGCATTTCCAGGAAAGAAGGCAGAATAAAATGGATAAGGAAGACGACTTTAAGTTAATCTAAAGATGGGTGATAGGTAGGTTTAGATGATGACCCAGAAAAATTAAAATCTTAGGTCAAACCTTACATCCCACCTCAGATCCTGCCTCAGATCCTACCTCAGATCCTGCCTCCGATCCTACCTCAGATCCTGCCTCCGATCCTACCTCAGATCCTACCTCAGATCCTAACTGCAGGACAAGAATGATATCTATGACACTGATGATGTCTCCAGGGATCCGGAATTGGAGAATTTATCTTCTACCTACAGCTGTACACCTCTAAAGCTGTACAGATGTACACCTCTAAAGCTTTACAGCTGTACACCTCTAAAGCTGTACAGATGTACACCTCTAAAGCTGTACAGATGTACACCTCTAAAGCTGTACAGCTGTACACCTCAAAAGCTGTACAGCTGTACACCTCTAAAGCTGTACAGCGACGTACGGATGCATTTCTCTTTCAATACAAAGGAATTGAGGTTTTGCTACAAACTCTGATTTTCTTATTCCTTTTATCTTGGCAACTCAATGTTGTAGACCTTTAATATTTTAATTATCAATTAGATTGGATCAAGTAATCTAAGTTTGAACTCTCAGGTTGCAAAGATATATGGATTAAAAAATTTGAGTTTATTTCAAAAATTTCTTTGCGACAAAAATAAACATGAATTTTGGATCTTTTCTTGTGAAACGAATGCTAACTTGTAAATTATGAAGAAAGTTCTCTTTTCAATTATTTACAGTATCTTTAGACTTCACTTATCAATAAAATACTTTGAGACATATTGGAATCGAACAAAGAGCAGATAATGAACAAGATTTAATCCAAAGTTTATGAATATTCAAGTTTAGGTTATTAAGTAACTATCTGTTATGCGCTGAATGTATTCTTCCAAAATTGAGAAATGTTATAATTCCTAACATAACATATACTCTTACCTACCCTATTCCAGGTTCTACAGCAGATTCCAGACCCTACTCCAGGTTCTACTCCAGTTTCAATAACCTTTTCCAGGTTTTACTCCTAGTTCCCTGCTCCTCCAGAGGTTCTATACTGTATTCCAGGTTCTACTCCTAGTTCCGTGCTCTTCTACGGGTTTCATACCCTACTACAGATTCTACTCCCTGTTCCCTGTTTCTCTTCAGGTTCTACATCATATTCCGGGTTCTACTCCAAAAAGTTTCCTGATCTTCTACAGGTTCCATACCCTATTCCAGGTTTTACTCCTAGTTTCCTGCTATTATTCAGGTTTCATACCCTACTCCAGGTTCTACTCCTAGTTTCCTGCTCCTC